CAGGTGGACTTAATTTTCTCAAATTACGTACTCCACTGGGTCATTGACATCAGAACGGCGTGCCAAAACCTTTCCCGCCTACTAAAACAGGGTGGTCTCTTCTATTTTAACATTTTCGGGGTGAAGCCACTTTCGATTCCGAATTTCGGAAAATATTTAAAGCAAGAGTCTGTCGAGGATCAACTGGCGGGAATTATGGCTACCTTAAAATTGAATGGATTACAAGTAACCCGCCAAAATATGTACTCGTATGAATGGCACTATACTGAGAAGGACTTTGAGGTTTTAATGCCTCTAATGTACGCCATGCATAATGTTCGCATTGATTCTACAAGTTTTACAAAGTTGGACGCACTTGAACGGGATAAGATTCGTCAAGAAATTCGAATCGGTTGTAACGAAGCGTACTTATTCCAGGTGGGAAATAAGGGGAAAATTTATCCTGTCGGTTCGGGGGATCCTTTGTTGTACTGCTATGACGGATTTGTAATTCAAGGAGGGAAGTTGGTGAAGTAAATTCGGACTGTTTAATTGGTTTTAAAAATAATTAGTCTATAAAGGTATTCATTATTTTTTCGTAACCTTAGTATTTTTTGTGTTGGGGCACAATAACGAATTACTCGTTAATAATTTAGTATGTATACATACATATGTATTCATTTAATTATGGGTACTTTTTGAATTTTTTGGACACCATGAGAATTTTGTACAGAGGTGAAATGAGCGATACGGTGTCATAGTATTTCGCATCGATATCACCGAATTTAATTTAAGAAATTGCAAAGTGAATTGCCGTTGCAAAGATCAACTTAGCATAACTATTTTTGAATTATATGCAACCACCCCCCCTTAAAAAATTGCGGTAAAAAATTGGGAAAAATGAGAAAACTAATGTACACACCGTAAAAAAAGAATTAGACCTCAAGTTGTATTTGACATTTTAATTCCCCCATGAATACAAATATTTTGACGTAGCAAGTTTCAAAATTTGAAAATTGGCGTTTTTTTTGCATACACATAAATCACTAAAAAACTCATTGTTCCGGTCATTTTGAGTCTGACAACCTGATGCCAGATTTTTCTCCTTGAGAAAAGCTACATTTTCAGCTTTTGTTGCCCGACTCAAAATGACCGGAACAATGAGTTTTTTGGGGTCAAAGTTTCTGAGGGAGGGGCTTACACAGCAAGAGCCGTAACAAAATGCAAGGTTGCTTATGATATACATAATCGTAATTACCGAAGTCATTAAAACAGCCTCAAATAACCCCAAATTTAAAACCTTTCTGAGCCTTTTCTAAGCCTTTCTGAATTTATAATGATGATGTGCATGCGAAAATTAATGCTTTGAGGCTTATCAATGAAGTTATCAATTTTTCAGATAAGCAAATTTAGTTTATCCAAATCGTCCAAAATTTAAAACTTAAGCTTTTCTGAATGTATAATGATGATGTGCATTCGAAAATCAACGCTTTGAGGCGTATTAATGAAGTTATCAATTTTTCAGATAAGCAAATTTTTTTATCCAAATCGTCCAAAATTTAAAACTTAAGCTTTTCTGAATGTATGTATAATGGTGACATCCACTCGAAAATTAATTTTATTAAAAAACTCGCACTTTTTTAAATTATTTTTATTTAAAAAACTGGAGAATTTGATAAAATGAACCACTCGTGTGAGAGATGAAAAGCATCTCAACACGAGTTGGTTCATAATCCCGGTAAACAATTTGAAGAGAGTGAGAAGTGAGACGGACCACCATACGGCACTGGCAACGACAGTCAGCCGTGGTGGTGGATACCCACCAGAATCCGAGTCTCACTCTGCCTTTCGCTAAATAATGGAAACTGCGTTTGTCGAACGGTTGGGCTGGTTTATCTCTACATATTCATTTACGTAAATAAAAAATGATACTTAATTGGCGACACTACAGTCAATGGAAAAAGTATTGGCAACCCCCACGCCAACTAAATAAAATTGGCTATAACATTGGAATGCGTTATACAATTAGCATGAAAATTTGTACGTATTTAACAAATATAATGTAATTTTCGATTATAGTCATGTTTTATTGATTAAAATTAGATGGACACATGTTTTAAATAATTTGTTGGAAAATTTGCAAAATTAATCCGCAAAAAGTATTGGCACCCTCTAACTTAAAAAATTATAAATCAAAGAAACGCCAATTTTATTGCGACAAACTGCTTCTAGTAATACATATCACCTTCCCTCGACGCAGTACGAGCAGAAATACGCATTGGAATTGATTCGAAAAGTCTTTTAATAACACTTTTTGACATTACTGCCTAATCTTTTTCGAAATTTCGGCCAGCTCTTTTTTCGACGAGTGGTTTTCCACCAGTCTCTCCTTTCTGTACCCGGACAATCAGATTCACATCGGGAGACTGTGCAACCAACGAAAGAAGCTTAAACTCTTAGGTCTCCAAAAACTTGCATCGTTACTTGGGGTAGCTGTTTTGGGTCACAGCATTTTTGGAATATTAAATTCCTACCCATGTCAGGTTTTTGCCAAATAATTTCAAATTATCGTTTGGAATAATTATTTAGACCTCATTGGTCATGATTTCATCGATAATGACCAGGTAACTACGCCAAGACCTAGTCATTTAACCCCAAACCATAATCGATCCTCCTGCGTGATTGACTCCCAGACGGCAGCATTCATTTTTTAGAGCCTCATTTTGCATCCTCCAAACTCTAACCATCCAACCCGCACCCAATAAGTTAAATTTACTTATGTGAGACCTCTAGACCCTTCTTCATCCTTTGGAAGTCCATTTAGGGTGATATTTAGCTGATTTAAATATCTTGAGTTGGTTCGTTTTGGGGGCCTTCTCTTCTATCGGGCTACTGGACCCTGAAACCCCATTGTATGATTTTTGATTGATCACAATATTGTATTAAATATTGACTCCGTAATTGGTTCTCAAATTCTAATTGGCTTTGGGTGTTGAAATCTTCCGATTTCAAGTAATTTGTTGCTTGATTCATCAGCTACTTTTGGGCGTAGGTGACTTTTTTTCTTTCCCATCATGGAAAAGTAGAAACTAAAATTGTCATTTTATATTTTTTGGCTACATTTCCAACAGTAAATATGGAAAACTATGTTTTCTGTTTGATTTTTCGATATCAAAGTTTTTTTGCGAAAAAGAAATGAATATTTCTCGCCGCGCCAAATATAGTTCATTTGGTGTCGCCATTTTGGTTCCAGACAATACAATTGCGGAGTTAAAATGTAGCTAACGTCATATCTTGTCACCTAATTAACTTACCGTAATGAGTCGCGGTAGGTGGTTACGAAAATTGTTTCGCGTAATTAATTGGGCCAAATGTTGCCAATACTTTTTGCGGGTTAATTTTGCAAATTTTCCAACAAATTATTTAAAAACTGTGTTCATCTAATTTTAATCAATAAAACATGACTAAAATCGAAAACTACATTATATTTGCTAAAGGCCTACAAATTTTCATGCTAATTGTATAATGTATTCCAATGTTATAGCCAATTTTATTTAGTTGGCGTGGGGGTTGCCAATACTTTTTCCATTGACTGTATGTATGTATGTTTGTACATATTGATCTAAAACTTAAATTAATCAAATGATGAAATCTTGCGATATTGTATGTAGGTACATACTCGTACAAAATCAAAATGGGACAGCAAAAACCTTTTTGGCGAAAAAAATTCCCCAAAACAATATATACGTACATACATACGTATTCATATCAATGAGTAAAAATTATAGGATTCGACAAAGACATCCTACAACTATGTCAGGAGTGGAATTTAACAATTTTATTATGTTAACCTTGAGAAAAGAAAAATAAGTTAGACAAATTTTGAGCGCCAAAATTTTCCATCGGGAGTTATGAGAATTTCGGAATTTAAAGTGATAGAGGTAAGGAACAACATATCTCCGGGACGGGTCGATGAAATTACACAAAACTTTTTTTCTACACTCTTTGCATATATACCTTGGTGCGTTTTTCGAATTGAGTGGAAATTCGAACTCCCAACTCCGAAATTCAAATTTTGAAAAATTGATTTTTAGGCCTAATATAAAAAGTAGGTAAGAATAATTTTTGCGTCAGGCCAATTTTCCAAAATTTGAATTTCGGAGTTGGGAGTTCGAATTTCCACTCAATTCGAAAAACGCACCAAGGTATATATGCAAAGAGTGTAGAAAAAAAGTTTTGTCTAATTTCATCGACCCGTTCCCGAGATATGTTGTTCCTTACCTACATCACTTTAAATTCCGAAATTCTCATACCTTCCCAGGGAAAATTTTGGAGCTCAAAATTTTTCTAAGATATTTTTATTTTCTTAAGGTGAACATAATAAAATAGTTAAATACCACTTCTGACATAGTTGTTGGATGTCTTCGTCGGACCGTATAATTCTTACTCCAATGTTACAATCCATACTTCCGCACACACTATCTTTAGGGTGCGGGAAGTTGGCGAACGGCGAACGTGAAGTTAGCGAACGCGAACCAAACCGTGAACTTGGCGAACCACCGAACGGCGAACGTGAAATTGGCGAACCAGCGAACCAAAATGTGAAATTGGCGAACCATCGAACCAAAACGTGAAGTTGGCGAACCATCGAACCAAAACGTGAAGTTGGCGAACCAGCGAACAAAAACGTTACTTCTTACGATAAGAACAACTACATAAAATGAACCACATGTACAAAAGTCAACAATTTCCTCGGGCTTTTAAAATTTTGAAAATGGGTAGAATTTCATGGTCTCGGGTTACTCGCTTTTTGCAATTATCCATTAAGGGCTTTGCATTACTAAATAGTTCATTAGTATCCACGAACGATAACTACAGTACGCTTGGGTTTTATAACTAAATTGTGAAGAGAAAAGGAGGTTTCAGCAAATATGGTTGATTTTAATTGTATAACTTTAATAATAACTTCCAAATAAATTTTGGACATGTTGCATTAAACTGAATAAAATATTTAACACTTCAAATCAGAATATCAAATAATTGGCCGTCTAGTTAACAAATACATGGAAATATGAAATAGCAGATTGGTCCAGTGGTCGTGGTTCCTGATGGGTTTCTCAAGGCGCTGTAACGTCTAAAACATTTATTATTATTGCAGCTTTGAAATTCTATAAGTTGTAAAAATGCAAAGAATACCACAAATCGTAAAGGACGAAAATCCACGCATTTTTTCCAGTTCAAAAGTCGACTTAATTCGAGCAAGGTGGTCAGTACAGTTGTGGTTTTTGTAGAGATCCAAGCATTTTAAAGGATCAGGCATGTGTATCTCCGCCGCGTCAATATTGTCCATGTGCGAATTGAAATGGCCCTTGTTGACATTGGTGCAGATGCCATAGAAAACTGGAATCCAAATTGACCGGATGTAAAACTCACCTACGGATGTGAGACAATGACAAAACAACATTTACAAACCTAATTAAAAACTAATTGGAATTTACACACCTTCAAATTTGAGTTTTTTCCTTCGAATGGTTACTTGTAGTTGGGTTATACTATATTTTGGTGCTTCTCGTAATATCCACTTAGATGTTTTGACGGCAGTTTGGGCTGGCCTCACGTATTCAAGTTCTTCTTCAAGGAATGACAGAGCTAAGAGGACAATACGAGGACTAGTTTGAAGGGACTTGATAACTGAGATGGCACGTTTTATTGTATGGTGGGCTTCTTCGTCGTGCATGGCTTGTGCAAAGGCCATCATCTTAGCATCGTCCGGTGTATAATGCCGAAAAATTTCGGATATTGGTGTATCGATACCTGCGTTCCATTATCATTAAGTTAAATTAAAGATTTCCGCATTTAAATACTAGTTCACTTACTGCTGACAATGGCTAGCGCGGTTGATAAGGTTCTTATCCATTCAGCCAGTGTCGTCTCAGGGGTAAACAGGCCTCCATGAGATTCGAATGTTTCCTCGACAGCATCTGAGGAAAAATGCGGATTAGTTTGATGAAGTAGAAATTTATACGCATCCATGTTCAGGTTTAGATCTCCTTGCTGCAGTTGAATTCTGGCCTTCCTAAATGAAGAATCGTGCTTAGTAACCATAACGATGCTTCCGCCGAAAGCTGCATCTGCCCTCCAGTGAGTACCAAACACCTAAAAGAAAATAAAAAAAATGATAAGTGTGGTAAGCCCCAGCAGGTGGCATCGTTAATAAAATAAACAAATTAGATACTCACAGATATAAACCTGTGATAACTTAAACAGTTCTCAGCGTAGGGTAGCAACAGGGCATTAAATTGTTTGGTAATGTGTTCTGTAGGCTGCAAATCATCAGAGAGTTGTACGGAAAACAACGATTGTTCATAGGTTGTTGTCTATAAATGGAAAGAACACATATTAATTTTCATGTCTCATTACTTGCTTTCCGCCTACCAAATATATTTAAAATATATAAGAAAAATGCTTAAACGAGACCAAAAAAGAAGAGGTATTATTAGTAAAGTCTTAAAATTTCATCAATTAATAAATAAAAAATTGAAGTTTGTATTTGTCTCTCTGTCAGGATAGACCAAAGGGTGGCGACCGATTGATTCGAAGTTAGTAAACGAGTTCGAAGAACTAGCCAATTTGTGAAATCGGCTTTTGGTAATTTATATTTGTTAAGTTTACCGTTGTTTCATTTTGAAGATCCAGTTTTCCCCGGAAAACTTTTCCAACAGTCGCTGCAGTCCATTTTAGGTAATGCGACATTATTTGTTCCTGAAAACTCATACTGGAACTCCGGAATACTTGCTGGTAAACTCCCTGCATTCAACACATGCATTTAAACTTAACATTTGAAAACTGCACATTAGCGGTGATCGTTTCACACTCCATTTAATTTTTTGAACCAACAAGAGTTTAGTGAATTGAATTACTACCTCTTGTGATAATTTAATCCGTAAAATTTGCTTGGGTTTTTGGAAATCCTCATCGATAGAATCAATATATTTGCAGGTGAATCGAAAAAGTGGGCTGGTGTCTGGGAATAGATCGAATGGATTTTCACGAAAATAAAATTGGTTGTAACCATACTGCAACTCCGTAATTCCAGGTCGAAGGCGCAAACATTCGTCCTTGCCAGGGTTTTCGGATATCCATGTCCTCTTGGGTCGCTCGGCTAAACGTTTAACCCTGCGTAGATTAAAGCTTAAACTTTGTTGCATAACGTAAACTTTTTAATCTTATTATCCTTTTAGTAAAAAATTACCTTTCTGCAGGTTCGTCCCTCGTTCTCGCGAATCCCTCGTTCTCACGAATGGTGTACTTGAGGTCCATTAACCAAGTAAAGTCCCCGAAAGTGTGCCAGTGCCACCCGTCACTATAAATTCATCAATTTAAAGTAGTTAGTATTAACGAGCTTGGCTGCATATATACCTATTATTTTTTATTGCATGAATCAGGAATTTCTAATTTCAATATCATGAGTACTTAATTATAGATAAATACATAACAATAATTTAATTTCTGCATGTGGTCATAATTATTTATTAATGGATTTAAAAAGGCTAATTAAAACTTACTATTCTTTCCATTTTGCAGCGACGTGTACCGTGCATGAGAGGAATCCAATGACCAAAATTACCATCGCGTTAGCACAAATCATTGTGAAAATTATGGATAAGTGACTGATTTAATTCCGTGAAGACATGGAATTTTAACGGCGAACTTCTCCAGAATCGCGCGTTCTGTAGTGGGTTAACAATGGTAAAAGGACGGTGGTATGTATTAATGAAAAATGTGTGGAAGGGATTGTCTTGAGTCCAGTCCTCCTGTCGTTGCACTATAATCCAAACGCACAGCATGGTGAGGTCCCTTCCGTACTTTGCGTAATGAGAAAATGGGCAAGAGAGGGTATATGCTTATGGAAAAATGAGGAATATATGCATAGGTATATATAGCCGTAGGCTAGTTGTGTGTAATAAGTCAGCAAGGATATTATATGATTTTTTATTTCGGTTATGATTTCGCTTTGCATAATAAGTTATTGGCGACGCTAGAAATATTACTCAGCAACACCAATAGCATTGCCTACAACGTTAAAAAATCTCTAGCAATGCGAAGAAAGTGCGTCCATAACATAATTGTTTATTTATTTATTTCATTACTGTTAGTTATATCTGACCTTAACTGTATGAAATCATAATTATCATATCTTGAGCGTTGCTAATTTTTCTATGGATACATATGTATCGCTGTATGCCAAACTAATTCCCGAGTGCGTGTGGATTTGTGAGTTACCAATGTAATCCCCCCGTGGGGTGGATGCTTTGGAATTTGATCAATGCTGGTTTTATCAGAAGGTTCGAAATAGTCATGATAAATAACTGGGAAGCAATTGGGAAAACTCCACGAAATTTCAGACTTTTTAATTTTTTAGAAAAAAACTCATCCTTGCTCCACCCCCCAAGGAGAAAGCACGGACAAAAATATTTATGCACACTGATATATACGTAAGTAGATGGCTTAATTCCAGTATTTTAAAAATCTCTAATTCCTTAAGCTTTCGTCCTATCAAGTCATACAAAGGATTAAAATGTGTGTATTATCCAGGAGAATGGTAAAAATGCTAAGCCCCGTGCTAGCTAACACTTCCTTGATGCCAAAAAACAGATTTGAAACTTTAGGCGTCGGACTTTCTACCTAAGGTAGTTATCATTTCGAAAAATTTAAAAAAATGCCTTGGTAAAGCACAATTCTCTAGCTATTTTGGTTCAGCCTGTTTTCATGCAACGAATGATTCGGGCGAAATCTCGGGTTTTCAAAGTTGCAGTTGAATACATACATACCAAGGTCTACATATCAAGGTGAATACATACATATCAAAGTGAAGTTTACTTAGTTACGTGTCTACGTAAGGTTGGCTCATTTGATAGTAAATTTTTTGACCGAGAGCTTGCGACCAATTTGGGTTTAATTTTGGAAAAAATACGCCGCTACACGAGGTTAAGGCCATTTAAATGGAAATTTATAAAGTATTGATGATTATCACTGCCGGTGGTGGTAGCGGTGGGGAAAATTGATGATTTCTTGTGCAGGTTAAAATGGAATTTAGTATATTTTAGTAGATTCAAAATAAAATTATTCCCATTCACTAAGCCCAAATAAAAAAAATATTTTGGACAAAATTAATGTTATTTCAGGCGATTTCATGCGACTGCTCATATAAATAATAACGGAAGGGAAAATTTTAGAAAACCGAGTTTATGCATGCAACTACAATACAATTTGCCTACAAAGTTCTAGGCACCATAGTTAATAAATTTCGAAGGTAAATATGACCGTAGTTAATTAGGTATATAGAATTTAAAATAGAACTAATCATTTCCAGATTAGCTTCCGCTGGGTCAGGAGGAAGCCCTTCTTCTTCGCTAATCCTCTGATATTCTTCCTCGTCTTCATCCAAATTCACAATCAGGGTACGCTACCCCGGGTTTTTGTGGGTTGGGGTTTTTGGGGTTTTTGTGGGTTTTTGGGGTATCAAATCTCCGGAAAAACCCCAATGCTTAATGGGGTTTTTGTGGGTTTTTGTGGGTTTTTCCGGGGTTTTTCCGTAAACTCACGAGACTAAATACTGCACTTGTTTATGCGGCTTTGTTAACGAATGTCTCCACACTGAATGCAACTCACAATGGGAAGAATTAACTGAAGTCGTATTTTCTATATTTCCAACTTGTTCCTGTAAATTTTGCACTAGATTACGTTTTCGAAAATGGGCAGGAAGCGAAAAGTAAACACACGTTGTAATGATAAGTTAACAAATTCTCAAATCTTGGACGAACTGTTTAATGGTATATGGCCACATTTAAAACATTTTTAAAGAAATTTAGCTAATATTTTAATACTCAGATTCCAGCCCCGATGAAAATAATACTGATTCTCGCAGCAAAGTGACAGACGAACCTATTGTTTTGTCTTTAGTAAATTCAGGTATAAATATAATATTTTATATATCGTCATGATTATTTAAAAATTCCTAATTTTTAGATATTAATTCACATGGAACTGAAGGATATATTTTAGAAACCATTTTAGAAACAAGATTAGAAGGTATAATTACATACGATGCAAATTACGCATGCTGAACATTCTTTGATGCTCTTATTTTTTAACAGATTTGTGTGACTTATCGTCCATTACTTCGAATACAGACAATAACGTTTCTGATTCAGTGCCAGGCACATCAGTTGATTTAGAATATATAGTGGACCTGGAACCGAATGAATCTGACGTGGATAACCAAAATTCGCCCAATCAAATTAAGCGACCGAAAATATCCGTACGCTCAATTCTTGTTTGATTATTTCTATTTGCTACTATTAACTTTCTCTGGACTCACTCGTTTTGTTTTGTAATGTTAAGGCAACAAAAAATGGAAACAATGGAGGAGGACGAAAGAAGGATGACGACATATGAATGCAATTTAGTATAAAAAAGGACAGTAATAGCAAAAGCGCAACCTGTAACAAATGTGGCGACTTCTTTAAGTGGGCCAAAGTGGAGAGGCTGAAGAAGCATTTGCAAACATGTGGAATTCAGGAACAACAATTGCCGAAACAAAATTTAAAAAATGCAAAACCTTCAGTAAATGATAATGATGTATCCGTAATCGAAGCGACAGGAAGCAAATCTGTGGAATTTCAGCAAAAACTCCCGACTATGTTTAAGAAAATAGCGAATGAACATCAAAAGATTAACAGTCAAGTAGCAAAATTTATTTTTGGATGCAATCTTCCCTTTTCCACAGCTGATAATCCAGAATTTGTGAAGCTTATGCAAAGATTAAGACCAAGCTATAAACCACCATCAGCAAAGACAATTGGTGGATCGCTGCTTAATAAAATTTATGAAGAAATTTGCGAAGACGCGAGGAAATCTGCCGAGACTAAATTCGCAACATTGATGCAGGACGGATGGAGCGCAATACAGCAGTCTCCAGTTATTTCTCACTGCCTCAGTATTGAAGCGAATGGTTCGATATTTGTCAACGCTGTCGCCACCACTACAGATACAAAGGACGCTGCATATTGTGCAACGCTTGCGATGGAAGCTCTTGAAGATGCCGAGGATAAATTCGGGTGTCAAATCGGGGCGGTAGTCACGGATAACTGCTCCACCATGATATTAATGCGAAAATTAATTTCACAAAAACGACCGGATCTTTGGACTTATGGATGCAATACTCATTACCTAAATCTCGTGGGAAAAGAAGTTGTTCCTGATGCTATGATGAAAACTGTTAAAAATGTGCAGCACTTTTTTCGAGATAAGCAATATCCGAGAGTGGGTTATAAGTATATGTTTGGATTGGCAACGAGTAGCGATTTGCGTAAGCCACTTCATGTAGTTTGTGAGAACTATATTAATTAAGATTATTGTTAATATTTCTTATAACGTATGAAAGGAGAACTGCATGTACCAATTGAGAAGCTTGAGGCCAACGCCATGGAGGTTAAGAATGCTCTGGCGGATGAGCACAAAGACCTAGGCATAGTGATAAGAAACCTGACAACCTACAGCGTCCATCTGAACAGTACCGTACCAACAGTGGTATATGGTGGCAGCAAATACCAGGCCCGGGGCCCGCAGGGGCCCGGGCTCGGTCGCTAGCTTTCCACTAGGTATAATGGACCTTTTCTCTATTGAAGATTAAAAAAAAGGTTTTGTTTAGATGTACCTAACATTAAACTGCTAGATATTATTTGTATTTCATGGGTAATTATTTTTGTATGAATTTGAGCAGACATACTGGACAATTTTTAATTTTAATAGCCTGACTTTCGAATCTTAAATTAATATGCAAAATCGTCATCTTAGCTGAACCCTCATGTTTTTTGGCAACTTGAAATGTGCCTTGCTAGGGAGCAAATTTACCATAAGCCAGGGACAAACTTTGGTATAAACTTAGGTCTCGCTCCGATTTTGACGAAACCACGATAATTATGTAACCTTAGACAAATAATTGAACACGTGTTTCAGGATTTTTCATAATGCTCAGCTTAAATGAAATTATGACGGAATCCGTGAGCGAGAATTTCTATTTTTACCGTGATATTTTCATGCGAGGGAGAAAAATACAGATTCTCGCATACTAATTCCATGCATGATAATTCGTTTAAGGTTAAAATGGGTCGGCATGAAGTGGTTTCCTCAAATTTTGACCCGACCAATTTTAAATTGCTCACGCACCCAAATAACCCGAACGGTAATTTTCATGTTCCTGAATGTTCGTGTTTTCGGTTGTGGAAGAAGTTTTGAATACATTGTCAGCCAAAGCAGGATTTTTCAAAACGTTGTTAATTTTAAAATTTTAGCTCTATTTCAACAAGCAAGTAACATGTTTGCTAAAAAATTACCTCAATAAAATTATAAAAACTGTTTTTGGAAAAACTTTTAATGTTTGAAATTTTGATGCTATTTCGAAATTTTGAAAAAATGTTACAGACCAGTAAATTCGAAATTTTTTTTGAATTGTGGAAGTTTCTTAAACTCAATGTAATTCTGTGCAATAAAGTGCTTTAATTTTTTGAAATGGGGTAAAAATTTATTACTTTGAAAAACCCTGATTTGGCTTAAAATGTATTCACAAATTCTGGCACAACCGAAAACACGAACATTCAGGAAAACGAAAATTATGGTTCGAGTTATTTCGGTGTCTGAGCAATTTAAAATTACAATTTAATTGTCACTATTTTCCCTTGGATCTGGGAAAATAGTGTGCTCTAAATAGGTAAAATATTACTTCGTTCCTAAATACTACTAGTATTCTGGAGCGAAAACGATTGCGTAATATCGAATATATTTAACATGAAGGGCCCGGCACTGAAGCTCATACCAGGCCTGAAAATTTCACGGTACGGCTCTGATTTAACGAAAATTCATGGATGGCTGGGGCATGTCTCATCCTATCCCCAAAATTAAACGGTATCAAAGTTGAACCATTGCGAGACTTTATTGAGGTCAGTTATTTGGTTGGTTACGCATAGGTTGTATTTAATTCGAGTTCATCAAAAAGTTTACTAATCATTTACCATTTTGTTGCAGACGATTGAGAATAACATCTTACCATCCGAGTTTGCTGCTCTTATAACGCTTGACTTTGGTCTGCATCTTCCACCTCTGAAGTTTCTTCGCATTATCAAAGACTGATGAACGAGTAATAATCATAAATTCAATAAGACAATTTGTTGTGGCCGGATTACACTGTTCTAGTTAAGTTACATTTAGTTCAAGAACTCGTGAAATTTTGTCGAATTTTGTCAAGGACTATGCGAAATGTGTGAATTTACCAATACTTGAAACGACTTTTTTACAAATATTTCTACATATCATTTTAGGCCCCTTCTTTTTTGACTTTTTAAAAAATATTCTACTTATTTACCAGACAAATTAAAAATTTAACAAAAGAGTTTCTAACTCAAGTAACCAAGCTGTAATCTTGTGAATTGATCTTGTGAATGATTTTGCAATGATCCCAAATACATACATTCACAAATACATTTGAGGACATACAATGACCCCGTCGACACGTTATTTCTAACTTTCTAATTCCGAGTTTCCCATTATATTTCCTGTTGTGACATTTGCATTCATTACATATAATCAAAATCAATGTCGTTGAGCATGCAATTGATACAAAATTCTGGTGCAGTTCGGTTTACATATGGCTATTTACAATTAGTGGGCGATTCAACAAGATGAATTATATTGAATTGATTTTATTTTTACCGTAATAAATATGTACTATCTGATACTATTACAAGAATTGAAATTAATTAATAAACGCTAAAGTCGAAGAAATTAAATATTAAACTTGATCCCGATGCAACCACACCGTGCTAACGGAATGACCCTTTGGGGCGGGTTTGAACTCTAGAAGGCGACCAGCAGTCAGTCCGTCGTAAATAAATTTCTTACGATTATAACAGAACACGACGTAAAAATGAGCTCCTCCCCGGCGGACACTATACGCGAAGACCTTAAATGCCTCATCGACCATATTGTGGCGCATGAGTATGTCATTTTCGACAAATACATGATTACCTTGTGGTAGTGGTACCGAATAAGTCAAAAATGCAGATGGGCCAAACTCAGGCCATTTGTACCAAATTTCACAATTAAATTTTCCTTTACAACTGCCTGCTACACACTTTATAATTTGTCGGTTGAACTTGGTCTTGGCTTCCAGCAGATTGCTGACAAAAAATTCGGTTGCGTATTGATCAGCTTTATCATGCAAATTGCACATACTATTTTTGCATCGTTTTCGCCGCACGATTGGAACTAAAGTCCTAATCGCATCCAAGAACTTTTCTTCTGAATCAAAAAAATCCCCAGATTCCAAAATTGCTGGGCTATAATTCATTAATTTTTTTAAAGTTAAACCTCTCGCTTCATCAAATGACTCATTATCTAGAAGTCCAAAAATCCTTGCTAAAATTGTCCCTGCAAAGTTACCTTGTGTCGCGTACGATTTAATTTGCTCTCTAACATCAGGAAATATTTTATACATCGTATATATGATTTGAAGTTGACAATCTATCGCGCACGTGTTGGTTGCAGATACCTTCTTACCCTCAAACATGTAGAACCCTCCCCATGGAATCCTGTTAAGGTGGTGTAATTCAGTCTGTTGAATTCCAGAAGGTGGTGGTTTCGATTTTTTGGGTCTCCAGCTCTCTTTTTGAGATTCAGGAACCTCCACGTCGCCCATCTCTTTTGATTTCATATTTTTATTTTGGCTGCCGAACTGTCCAGATTTAAATTGATTAGATCTGGCACTACTGCAAATGATCTCCTCATCACGCTCATCCTCCACATACGAGTCTCGTCTTGAATTGGATGTGCGAAGTAATCGTGCTAGTGCTAAGTCAAACTCGTTTAGTCGACCTAAAAAATAAAAATTGATTGGGAAGCTAGCGATAAATGTATTTTCACAATTACATACCTTTCAAAATTTTCTCCTCCGCTGAGCAAAATCTCCCTATTCTCATTGGTAGCGCAGCTGCCAACTCATCCACTTTTAGGATGCTATAATTAACAATAATTTGTTTTAACAAGATTAGACTAAAGATAGCTCTATTGAACAAAACCTTATTATAAAAAACATTAAGCTCACTCATTCCAGCTCTCAACACTGCCTTGCGTATCAGACAAAGTACTTATGTCGTTTAAACGCATGAGCGAGTGATCGAAAAGACAACCAATGACCAGAACGTGTTTAATCAAGTAACGCAAAAATGGTGGACAGTAATACGGATTGGTAGCTCCGCTGTAGTCATCCTCAACCTGATCACTGAAATCTAGTTGGATATCATACTCCGTGGCCACGATTATTGCGAATTGACTAAAGGGAGATTGGCGGTAGAATGGTGGGTCACTCGGAAGTTCATTCAGGTTTACAACTTCCCATGGGGCTCCTTAATGATAAGGAATAATTAATAATTACGTCTCTTATTAGGAATCCGTTAGAATACCTTTTCTTGTCGTTTTTTCGGATATGTCCCTAGTAATTTCAAGTACAGTAATTGAAATATCTCTACAACCACACAGAATTACGACATCCATTACCCGTCGGCAGAAACTATACAAATCTGAAATTAAATATAATTGATACACGGTCAAAGTAAGGCACTTTTAAAACGAATACAAACCAACTCATCTACCTCTGCCGTGGAGAAAACCATGCATCCATTTCTTCATTACTCCAATTGCATCATGGGTATCAACGTCGACGTCGTGTTCGGAACCATCCTCGTCGATTAGTGTCGTTCCCCTTGTCATTTTGCTTTTGCAAATGTCAGCATAACCTGCTGTGTGTCTCCCTTTGAAGTGTTCGCTGATTTTCTTGTGCAAGAAATCCATTGCATGTTTTCTACATACGTGGTGGACATAAGGAACGTGCCGTTTTCCATAGCCGTTTGCTGCCTCACTTAATCTCTTCCATGCAATTTTCAGGTAATTCAACACTGTCCCAACCTCCAAAGCCGTTGTACACGCACTAATCATTGCCATTGAATCGTCTGGTGGAAGTAATTAAAATGCAAATTTATATTATGTATTAATTATATAATATGGACAAACAACAATACTCATCTACATATATTTAGTTATATAACAATTAGTACATATGAATAAATACCTGTTTCAATCCTTCGAATCCCACAGCCACTTTTCTTAATCGACGTTTGACTACGAACTCTATTTAATAATTTATATTTCGTCAATGCAAGGCAGCATTTGTATTGGAACGACACGTATGTATGTTTAATAATTTGAAATATACTTACTGTTCAAGAAAATAACGTAGTTGGGTAGATATTGTAACAGCACTATGCGAATTCGTGACGAATTCTACCACAGGAATAAGCGGTGCATCCCCCAAAGGTAACTTGATTACCAATGCGTAATAAAATTGCCTTGTCTGATCCAATCCAACTGGAAGTGCACTGGAGACCTTTCCTACGAAACAATATTATTATAATCCGACTATGTACAAATGTACTACATATGTATATCACGCAACAAATTACAACACAGAACAGTGACGTCTGGCGTCTTGCAAAGTCTTTTATCCATTCTTTTATCTAATTACCGGAAGCATCTAGGTAGAAAACTATATCACTATTCCATGCTAGAACTTTCTTGAAAATGTTAATCTGTTTCTGAGTATATAGCAGAACCGTAAAAGGAAAAACGCCCAATTGCTGAATGTATCCTCGCACATGTCCAAGAGAAAGATGTGGATAGTTTCTCATTTCCTCACGCCTTAGAATAAGATCCCGCAAAATATCTTCATGCAAGTCTTGTTTCTTTAGTATCTGTAATTACGTGACAAATTATCACATGCCATAAACGCATTAATTAAGCATAAATATCGCCAACCTCCTTTCGTGCAACTCGAAGTACATCTTGAGATTGTACTTCTGTATAATCACCCTTTTCTAATGATGTTTGATCTGTAGCCTCCGATCCAAATTTTTCCCTCCTGAAGATGCTTGCTCTCTTTGTATTCAAATCTTTCTGCGCTTCGATTCGCCGAATGCCGCTTAAATGACGCTTATCAGTGGTTGCTAGATCATGTTCCAATGCCCCACTCGGCCTGCAAATATTTATATTTAGAATATTTTTGTTGTTAGTTAAACAGATTGTGAAGATTGCATCCCTTACTTTATTACTATATTGACATCGCTATTCTTTTTCGGCCTCTTTTCTATCTCGAATCTATATTTCATGCTGCAGTCTTTTCTCTTGCAAATGGCACTGGCAGTCACATAGTTTCGCGCACTCTTTTTTGGATAAACTCGGTTATACTCAAATGTTAATACACATCCTTTCATTTCTTCTGTGCAGCTTCTCTTAAAAAACTCATAGAACCGATGAGTCCAAATTGTGGCTGGGAGTTTCCACTGATATCGTGGATCGCGCTGGTCACCTTGGGCTTGTGGTTGGACTTCAGTCCACTCTGTATATGAAATGGTTGTTGTAAAGTCCACGTGGTGCTTTATCGGTCCTTCCATCCTTTGTTGATAAGCCACAACACCATCGTCGCTGCCAAGCGCCGTATCATCGCTGCTCTGGGGAAGATCATCATCGAGCTTAACTTTTGTCGTCGTCTCCGGCTTGGCTAAAGTATTAAAACACACGGCAAGGTTAGCACCAAGGCTAATGATGGTCCATAGATCTTACTATATTTAATATCGTCAAATTTTCAACTACATATTTTACTATATATTCATATGTATAGAATATAAAATTACATATTTAAATGCTTACATATTCAAATTTTAAATGGAATATTTGAGACTTACACTGCTCATTCTGGTTATCACCAAAAGTACTTCTCCTATGTATAATAGAAAGTAATGAGGAAGGAAAGAAAGTTATGTTCTTATTTTTCTTGTTTGGAGTTGACGTCAACCGACTTCTTCCATTCCCTGAATAACAAATGGTTGTCAAAATATGGGATATTCTTGCAATATGTGCACTTGTCCTACCTGAAAATACCGATGGCTCGCGGGTTAAACTCAATGACTTGCTTCGGTTCAGGTAGTCGGTAAATGAAACTTGTTCCTCTTCATTATCTGTGCATATAAAATGATTGTTACAAATTCATGTTATATTAAATTGGTATTAGTACCACTGTTCTCCACCGCCAAAGTCATAAAAATCTTGGGGATCAAAAATGAGTCAGGCTCGCTACACTGGGGGCCCTTCCATACTCGTTTTCCTTTGAATCTTGAAACCTGGATATCCACGCAGGCTGAATGATACCATTCAGTGCAATTGTCACAGTTTATCATCGGCAAACTTGGTTCACAGCTTGAACTTTCGTTCTCTAGGTTCTTGCAGTAACAATAGTATTTGTATCCATCGCCTTCGTTCTTCTGAGCAGGTAGTTGGACATATTGGTTCCCATGTAGCGAGCACAAATTGTAATGTAAATCCTGGAACTCAATTATAATTTAATTAATGAAAGTTTTCGGGTACTACAAATAAAGTTCCTCATTATTTTTGCAAAATTCTCACCTTCTGTCACTTAACTTCTGCCACACAATTGCTACAAACTAACCCCTAAAGCTTCATTACAGATACATAAGTTGGTCTTACCCGTATATTCATCTTATTTGTATCATATGCAACCTTTGCCCAAAATCTGTAGATTTTTGTTGTCATTGCTGGATTGATTTTGTGTACAATTCTCCCCCACACCGAGTTTCGGTCTGAAAAACTCTCCGCTAACTGAATACAGTCCCCCCCAACCACCTTGTAAATAGCTTCCGCTAATGTTAGGGGCTCCACTTTGTCCCAATTCCGTCGAGCTACTAACGTCATATTTTTTATTATTTATTTTCACACAAGGAACAAGAAATCAAGCCCTTTTCATGATCGTGTCCATGAATATAGCAATCAAATACAACGATTGATGCCGTTTATATATGTGTACATAATGATTCTAAAGTACTTCATCTCCTCATTAACGAAATTGTCTCCAGTGTTCTTTTTCATTTTGGTACAATGACGGTACTCATTAGTCGTTATCAATAGTAAAGTCATTATTATTAAGAATTAATATGGCATATCATGCACAATCAAAAACAACTTAGCATCTTTCCCATGACACCGTACGATAGTTGCCTCGTCTAATTGTCCCGTGCATTATGTGTCATTAACGTTGTAATCAGGTAATAAATTACTTACACCGCGGAGTAATTACGAGGGTTATCTGTTTTGATTATCAAACTCATAAGTGCGGCCGAGGAGATTCTTAAATTCATGTCGACTTGACGTCTCTATCACGCGGCACCTCAAGGCAATTAAAGTGTGCGACCACGAATTTCCACCCTTGCCTGGCTCGATATTTCGCATTGAGCTGTAATGAGCCTGACTTTTAACCTGTCGTAACATAATTAGCATAATTGATGATAATTAAAAATTTCCACCAAATTATGATTTATTAAATTTCACCATAAAATGAAATCTTCATTAACGCCATAGCAGAGCAAAAAATAAATCAATTAATTTTAACCGTAGATAAATCTTGTTAAAAATATCGTGCTTATAGTTGCAAGGACGCACATCGATTTACACAATTGTTATAACTTGTCTAATAATTCAAGCAGGTACGTGTGCATGCACAGTTATTAAATCCAAGATTGCTCTTTGAACAATTAGAAGCCTAACAAATTTCAGTTTGATACGAGTGTGATCCGAGTCACCATATATATGGTGACTTGAGTTGTATAAATACATACATATGCATATGTATGGTCTTTCAGATGCAAATTTTCCCTATATTATTTGTAATGTTCCATTAGGAGCCATTACCAATTTTGCCACCAAATTCCAGCTAAATGTGATGAATTTTATAAATTGGTGTGGGTCACCCCATTGGGTCTGTCCAGGTGAAAATGTGCCCAATTTAAATTCATACTCATACATTAGTACCAATCCTCACACCAAATTTCAGCTCGATTGGATGAGTTTTAAAAAATCGGTATGGGTCACCCTCTCGGGTACCTCCGGTTGAAAAATTTTCCTATTTCACTTCATATTCTTTCAGACGGACCTCTATGCCAAATTTCTGCATTCTAACACAATTTTGAAATTTTGGTGCATAATACCCCACCCACTCCGACGACCCCCACCGGTCAACCACTTGACCGATTTCCACCTCTTCGAACTCGATTCCTAACTTTGTCCAACATGCACATGGTAAAAGTTTCAAGTCAATCGGTTCAGTCGTTTTAGCTCTATCGTGTTTATTGAAGGACGAACGGACATGACGGTGCCATAAGCCCTAACTCGTGCTAAAAATAAAGTTCGCAATAAATTTTGGCTTGACAATTGATTTGCGCATCTGAGGGTTAGAATTTATTTTGCATTCAATTGCACTAAAAATCTCATTTGGCCCGACCACACCCCCTGACGCCGGTGGGGTTGCACGCTGGTCCGGAACACTGAATTTCTTGGCCAAAACCTATTATCACCGATTCGAAAACTAACTACCCCCTTTAGTACCTTTGACATAGATGTTCAATTTTGGAAAGTTTCATTTCAATCGTTCGAGTGGTTATGGCGTGGCATATGCCTAAACTTGGCTTAACATTGGGCTAAATGGGAAAAACTTCAAGCTGAAAATCCTGTCTATTCCTGTGCTTTTCTGAGGAACCGTTAATGTAATACTAAAGCCCTATATCTCATCTACAATAACTATTTTGGGGTCAGTCGGACCAACCGACTGTTGGTTGGTTGGTCCGACTGACCCCAAAATATGATTAGTTGATTAGAAAAGTTTATCCTCCCTCTGGGGTCATATGTATGATAGTGAAGACTAATTTAACGTTTTGGTTCGCTGGTTCGCCAATTTCACGTTTTGGTTCGCTGGTTCGCCAACTTCACGTTCTGGTTCGATGGTTCGCCAATTTCACATTTTGGTTCGCTGGTTCGCCAATTTCACGTTCGCCGTTCGGTGGTTCGCCAAGTTCACGGTTTGGTTCGCGTTCGCTAACTTCACGTTCGCCGTTCGCCAACTTCCCGCACCCCTATCTTTAATGTGTTACAACTTACAACAACGAATGGAACTATGCAACTAATAATTATCCATGGAGAATAGGAATTTTGCAACCAATTTAGGTAATAAAAGATTTTGAAGGAGAGCTTTCCTATACGTATGCATTTTTCGTGTAAATTTGGGAAATCGGTATGTTTTACGTATTAATTCAGAGATTAAACGCTTGCTCAAAAAATGTAATTCGATAACACTGGTTTAAATAGTAAATTTGTTTTCTGAGTAAACAACGTCACATGTTTAGTTGTAAAGTTATTCCGCACTTTTAGAAATCGATATGGAATTTTATCTCAAAACTCATGGAATATTCAATTTTAGAAATTTGAAATTGCATTTAAAGACATAGGATTGGGGTAGAGTGAGATTAACGCGCCAACGCATCATTTAACATCGTTCCTTAGAGTAACCTTAAGGAACTTCTTTCCTCACCTCACTATTTAATTTTCCAGGCACCAACCCAATCAGCCGGTATTATTTATCCTTCATTTCACATTTTACTTTATTCTTACCAACACAGTAAATTATTTGTTGCAAATATCAAATACGTGTCTATTTTTGTCTGCAGTCAATAAATTAAGTTAAAACATCCATTGTTTAAATAGGAGAATTATGGAGGACGACTTCACCCCCGTTAAACATGGTATTCTTGCATCAAAACTCACTTCTGACGGCGACATGTTGCCGGTTATTCTGCCTTATCGGGATGGTCTCCAGGCGAGTTTTAAAAATTTTAAATTCGATTTCGTTTTTTTCAATTGCTCGTGCAAGTTTTATCGAGCTTTATTTAAATTATGTTGGTCGTAATTAGTACAAACTTGGCGACAAGCCCGATAACTCGTCCGAGTACGACTTCGTCTTTCTTCCAACCAATCAATTCAAGTTGGGCTGGACTACGAACGTGGAAATTTCGTGCAAAAGTGACCATTACTGGGTAGTTCCTGCGAGGACTCTAACTGATACACAGTTAGAGTTCCTAGAAAGTGTATTTGAAAAACAGCCAACGCAAAACAGATGAAAAAGTGAGATTTTGGGAGCACACACGATTTCGTGCATTTTCTGCCAAACGTGGTGGCTGCAACTCTCGCCTCACCACCGCTTATATCCAGCAGATATCCTGGCATCAAAAAATTACGTTCGCAGCACATAGGTGGCGTCCGCACCCCTATTTGAACATATTCTCGCCAATTTCAGAGTCGCGTCTCCCGAAATTTGATGCTCTACGATGGTGTGCGTTGTGCCAAATAGGGGTGCCGACGCCACCTAGGTGCTTCCAACGTAATTTTTTCATGCGAAGATATGTGGATATGAGCGGTGGTGCACCACCATCGTGGGGCGAAGCACACACTGCTCGGGCGTGCAGCAGCTACCACGCGCTGCGTTAATGCTACCAATAGGGGGTCAGAAATCGTACCTCTATCGTGGCGTTTTTCCTTATGCACTTTCCACGAACCCTTCCTGGCTCACTCCAAATAAAAAAGCCAGGTGGGTTCGTCGCGGGAACTAGGTTTTCATGAAACAAAGAAGCGAACCTGGGGAAAAACGAAAATACGCCAAGGAGGGAACTTTACACTCTCATAACTCGCCGACCAGCCAGAAGAGATTAACTGATTCACAATTAACGAATAATAAAGCATTCCCCCTCGAACACACCCCACCCCCCACTACAAAATCGTCTCGAGGATGGAGGTCGACTTGAAGATGGAAAATTGTGTCGGTGTCGAAACCCTGGAGAAAAATGAGGGACGGGTGAGTTTTTTATGAAGTAAAACCAATTAAAATTCAATTTTCTAATTAAATCGTGCTTTTTTAATGGAGGTTTTGACCGGGAAGTTTTTCCTGTGTCGATCGATAACCCTGTCGAGCAAGCTGGGCGGCTGTATTCACACGGTTGTGGAGGATATTGAAGGGAACACCCCGTTCGTGGCACTGTTCAATTATTCGATTGACGCTAGAAAAGGAACGACCGACTTCGAGACGGTCGTCCCCTTGGGGACCGTGATGATTGTGAAAAATCCCGTCTTCAGAAAGATCTTTCCCGGAAATTTACCAAACGTTGGAGTAGTCGCTGAGAATCCGGCGGATGTCGAATTGCTCAGTCCGAAGAGAATGAAAACGCTTTTTCCAGGTAATATTTCGATAGGGTAATTAATTAGATGAAAAATTGGATTATTAGTTACAAACATGATTTTATTCTAGATTAGATAAGTCATGCCATGCTTCATTGGACGGGCAGTTAATTAAAATATTAATTGCAATGCTTAGTTTAGTTACGTGTACTCTTAATTACACGAATCCTTAAATGATTAGATGGCTACATACATAGTTAATTATATAAATCATTAAACAGATTTTTCATCACGTTATAAAACTATATTAGACGATTAATGAACTAACTAAACGAGTAATTAACTAAGTAACTTATGCCTAGGTGTCAAATGGAAGTGTCCTCTGCGTTTTCGAGAGATTAGATCTCCCCTCGTCTGGGAATTCGCTCCTGACCAAAGTGACTTCGAGATCGCTGTCCATTTGAAGAATGTGGGAAACAAGGCCTTCCTCGAAAACCGGGCAACCGATGCGATCCGATTCTACAAACTTGAAAATTATAAGTTATACACTGAAAAAATTCTGGGCTTCAACAATGGTGACGCCAAGGCAGTCTACTGTCACGCCAAAGCTCTCATCGGACTTCGACGGTACTCTGAAGGTGGTCAATTTCTGCATGAAAAGCTCACCAAATTCCCATCCTTGCGCAAAGAGAATAAAGATATTCTCAAGTTGAGATAGGATTTAATATGAAACATAATGTAGTTTCTTATCTACTTAAGCAAATGGTTGATAAGTACCTAATTTAACAGATCAATCCTCCCTTACCTGGGAAAACCACCGGGAAAAGAACTTATCGCCGCGTTGCGACGACCAGGGCCGCCAAATAAGATTAAAGCTCCACCAAATTTACCGGCCCGGATGGCGGAGCGCATTTCTGAATACCGCGGCCCCCTTCGACTCGGACCAAGCAGCATTGGCGAGGGGGAAGGATTATTTGCCACGCAAGATCTCGCGGTTGGAACCGTTCTCCTTGTTTGCAAACCCTTCGCCGGGTTGTATGTCAAATCCAAGGACACGAAGGCATTTTCAGAGAATGCGTCCCCCCACGAATATCTTGTCGGCACGATGGCTAACAAGATCTGGCTGGATCCTCAACTTGGTCGTGAAATTTACACCCTTTGGGCTGGACCGGAACTGAAATCCTTGAAGGATGATGACCCCAAAATTACGAAGGTGGACATTGATCGAATTACGAAGATTTACCATGCTAACTTTGCGAGGTAACTTATAAGTTTCGAAATAACGAGCGTGACAAAATTCTACAACCTAAACTTTTACAATCTTTGCCAAATATTTATATGGAGAATAAGCTTACAATTTTTTTAAATTGAGATTATTAGTGTTTCTGTATTTTGTGAAAGTTGTAAAATTACTCTACAAACCTTACAAATTAATTAACCTGCATTCGCTTAAAAATAATTACAAATTTTACTTTAACTGTGACAGAGCGGATGCCGACGCCTTCATTTCTTGCGGTGTTTGGATCCCCCCGTCCAAAATTAATCATAGCTGTGTGGACGCCAACGTTATGATTGGTCACCATGAGACCAGCCTGGTCATGACGGTCACTACGTTCAAAGAGGTGAAAAATGGAGACGAAATCGTGGCGAGCTATGTCGACCCAGTGCGGCCGTTTCCGGAGAGAAATTTCATGGAAAGTCATGGTGAGTTTATACAAATTTGTAATCGTTTCGACTTACATCGTCATATCGTAATTATGCGCACTTATACCTGAAGAAAATTCAATTTTGTGTGAAGTTATGGTGAGTTTGTGGTTATCGAGGGTTTTTTAAGTGTTTCTACTGTGTCACTTTGTGTCCCGGCTAAATTATAAATTACTAAAACCTAAGGATGTAGCCGATATGTATCAATTTTACCATCCAATTTGTCACAATTCAATTGTGTCTGACACTTACGTATGCCAATTTTAACCTGTCATGTTTCTCACAAATTTTAAATGTTTGACAAATTGGACATTTCTGACATGTTAATATGTCATGACGGCACATCCTGATTAACTAGAGTGGATACAACTCTCAAGTGTCTCGGTAGTGAGCGCAATAGCTGATTGTACTCTGTGTGTTAATCAAGTGGGGTAGAGCAAAACGGTTCCAGGAAGCTTTGTCTCGACTTGCCTCGTCCACTTGATTAACACACGAAGTACAATCAGCTATTGCGCTCACTACCGAGACACTTGACAGTTGTATCCACTCTATATACAAAAACCTCAGGATTTGGTCCATACTTTCAGTATTTTTAATTTTCTTTCCTTAATATTGATGTGATTTGTACAATTTTGTACAATTACCTTTTAGATGTGACATTTTGAAAACTTTTAAAATGTTTTCAATTAGGGTTGCCGCGGGTAGCGAAAATGCTACCCGTTACCCGACCCGCTACCCGCAGCACAACTACCCGTACCCGCACGGGTACCCGTGCGGGTACCCGTTACCCGCTACCCGTTATGAGAATTAAGTTAAAAGCTAACCAAACTTCAGAATAAGTTCGATTTAATTAATTATTTGCTCACTTGGGTTGATGTGTAGTTTGAGATAATGCTATACGCAAGTAATGCATGCCATAATTTGTTTTGGGAATGTCACTAGTTGTTTCTGAAACCAAACTTTTTGACTTGCAATGGAACGTTTTTCAAACTACATCGGGATTTCTTAACGAATTATATCAAAAAATCAAGCCAAAAATTAGGAATTATCAGTTATCTCTTCCTTAACGCAAGCTTCCATGACGCGCCGCCTACGTCATAACAGTGACGTCACAACCCTACATTTTTAATTAAATCTCAGCAACTAGGACGAATTTCGAAATTCTGGTCGACGATATTGTAGACCATCCCGTTGTCGTTGTACTCGAGCCGACATCAAACATTTTGGTAGCTTGAGAATGGCTGGATGCCACAAATAATGTAAATTCCATAAGAACACATGCTAATCATCAGGCAAAATTGGCTTATCCATATCGATCAATTTTAAATGCATATTTTTGAGCAGCTAATTATCAACAATAGCGGTGTACAGAATTTCGAAATTCGATTTCTAAGTCACGAAAAATTAGTTTGAAATTTATTAATATTGCTGTGTATTTGTGTATGTAAACGTATGGGAAATCTTGCGATGAGTCCGTGGATCCGCGATTACATTACCCGAATGAGCCGAATTATCCTATTATTTTACACCAGTTATTTTTATTTTCGCGTTCAAATTATACGAAATCATACGAAATTGAATAATTTGAACGCCAAAATAAAAATAACTGGTGTAAAATAATAGGATAATTCGGCTAATGTAATTCAAAGTCCAGAGGGGGTGCAAATTTCGCGCAGTTTAAATTACTCAATGATTTTTTGAGACGACCACGTCATGGAGGCTAGCCTTAAATAGCCCGTTTAAAGACAGCTATTAGGGGCAGAGTTCAAGGACCACCATGGTTTTCGTCCAGTGGAGGAAAAAGTTGCTGAACATTTACTTAAAAATAGAACTTAGCCGCCAATATTTTCTTTAAAGTGGACATTCCACGGAAAGTATCACGCGATTCTTAATTTTTGGCTTGACTTTTAAATACTTATACTTGCTAGACAATCTTGGTGTAGCTTGAAAGAAGGTTCAATCTATAGTTTGATTTTTTTTAATTTAGATTTAAATGAAGTTTTAATTGCAAAATCGTCTATAAATAACATTTTTGCTTCCAATCGGATTCAAGTTTTTCACCTTTAAAGTATAAATTAAAATATCGTCAGTCTTACATAAACACATACAAGTCAAATTATTACTGATATTTTAGAGGAGGCAAATTATGCTTCAGAAGCAATAATTTCTCCGCATTTTCGGGACGTGAAAAGCATTTCAGGCTGCGTGGGGTTCTGTGACCTCCTAAAGAAACTCTCGTTATTATAAACGCCACTTGCTGGCAAATGGCAAGTCACAAATTTTGAAATGGATAAATAATAAATTACCGCTTTTGTTGGTAAATGGACCAACTTGCTGCTAGCTTTCTTTGTGAACTGATTTACGTCGAAAATTAAATAAAAACTAAACTACCCGTTACCCGTGCGGGTAGTTCTCGCTACCCGCAGATAACGGGTACCCGCAAGAATCGTGCGGGTATGCGGGTAACGGGTACCCGACCCGTTACCCGCGGCAACCCTATTTTCAATCAAAGTTTCAATAGTTTTCGGCGAGAAGTTGGTACCAATCCAAGGAGATCCAAGTTTACTTACAGCTATTTGAAAATTGTTCGTTTTTTCACAAAAACTTCCTACAAATGGAACATATATTTCCCATATTTTTTTTAGAAATATTTACAAGCCATATCTATGTACATATATCGTATTTTAAGTATGTGTATTTATACAATTAAAATGTCAATTTTATCCATCTTTCACAGGATTTATCTGCCGATGTCGCCTCTGCGAATTGGAGCGATCCGAAAGTGCCGCTGTAAGCCTGCAGAGAGAAAGACTTCTGAGAAGTCTGACCGTCAATCCGGACAGATATCTGAGTATGTACTTTCTCAGACTCGACTTGCAAACCATCACGGCCTTGAAAGATCTTCGTGCCGCCTCGCCCGACCTCAATTTTGCCCTGACGCATTCCGAAATGTCTAAAATTGTGGCAACCGTCCTGCTACGAGGAGAGCGTTGTGAGCCATGTTTCCTCCTTTTGGAGACAATTTACAGTGTCATCGGAAACATCCCGCCCAACTATGTGGCTCATGCCTATGCCGAAACTATTTTGATTTGTTGTATGAAACTTGGCAAGGAAAAGGCTGTCCTGGAAAAGTGGGTGGAAGAAGTGCGGAAATATTGTCGTCTTTACGCCGGTACGCTGCACTCTTAGAAACGTGGTATTGAAAAAAACCTTACGGTATTGATACGTGACTCTACCGCCTTGGTATTAAACGGTTATACCATATTGGTATAAAACCGGTATTGAAATTATACCTCATGGTAATAATTTTAAGACTAATTGGTATTAACTTTTTTACCACGCAGTATTAATTTAATACCTGATCAATACCATGCGGTAGAGTCACGTATCAATACCACCGGTTATTGATTTTTTTAAGAGTGTGGAACATGTTCGGGCAGGAAATTACCCAACAATTCCGGAGGATTTGAAAACATTTGGGATTGAATTCTTCAACGAGGAGACGGATTAATTAAGTGTGGATGATTATTTCATATTTAAATTTTCCAATATTTCTATAGTTTGGTTTGTCGTTCATTTTGCTTTGGACAGTTTAAGTTTGGTTTGATGATTTGATATGGAATTAGTAATTAAATTGACTTGCTTATGTTGCAGACATATTTTCCTTGTTTTTGAAAACGTCTTATTTCAAAGGTGCCATAATCGAGATTAAGGCTTCATTTCATACATTGCATATTTGCATACATATCTATATGTGAGCAAGAAATCTGGCTTAAATATAGTTTCATATTCTAAAGGATCGGCGAATCTATTTTCAGCCGTTACATGGCTATATAATTCTTAAAGCACCTTAACGGGGCACAGAATATATGCATGATTTCTAAATGAAGAGCAAAGTCTAGAAATTCGCGACTTTTGCGTGACGTAATTTATGGATATCCCCCAATTAACCTAAAATAAGAATGGCAATGTTGGCTTAGATATCTACAAGACTTTGAAAGTATGTAGATGTACATATTTTCCATTTTTACACAGGTACATGATATGTAAATTGTCCTGAGGACATCAAGGGAAAAGGAAAGGGAGGAGTTCAGTAAGTTTGAACGGTTTGGAGAAATCTAAAATTATCCCAAATGTATGTTCCGCAGACGTTTCAATTTTAATTTCCATTACAAAATGCCGGATTCAAAATGGGTGAATCTTCAAAAACATGGATTCTCTAAGTCTGACTCAAGTAATATGTATTTGTAAAAATAATATAAATAATATGCAATAATAATATATGTTTGTAAACGAAAGAAACAAATACACCCGTTTTCAAAAAGAAGGAAATCTAAATCAATTTAATTTCCGATTATTTATCAAACAATATTAAATTTCCAAAACCAAATTGACGACAAAGCAAAAATATTAGAAAACTTGAATCATCCTCCCCACTTAATTAATCGTTGAAAAATTCAATCCCAAATTTTTTCAAATCCTCCGGAATCGTGGGATAATCTCCGGCCCGAACATGTTCCAGCGTGCCGGCATAAAGACGACAATATTTCCGCACTTCTTCCACCCATTTTTCCAGGACTTCCTTTTCCTTGCCCATTTTCATACAACAAACCAAAATAGTTTCGGCATAGGCACGAGTCACACAGTTGGGCGGGACGTTTTCGATGACGGCGTAAACTTTCTCCAAGATGAGCAAACACAGAAAATTAAGCTCTTCCGCATTGGCATTTAGCATGATGATCGAAGCAATTTTATAAATGTCGGAATTCGTCAAGGCAATATTCAGGTCGGGCGTGGCGGCACGAAGTTCTTCAAGGGCGCCAATGATTTCACAGTCGGCATGGAGACTGCCCGCCTTCAAATATCTGACCGGGTCGAATGTCAGACTTTTCAAGAGTGCTTCTCTCTTCGTGATTACATAGGCACTTTCGGATCGGTCCAGTTCGCAGAGGCGACATTTGCAGATAAATCCTGTCAAAAATGTACAAAATTTATCTCATTTTTTAGGTATAAAAGTATAAATGTCATGATTACGATAGGATAATATGCACATATCCTACTTATACATATATTTGAAAAATATGGGAAATATTTTGAATATTTGTGAAGTATGTTCGTCAAAAAGCGTAACAACATTTGAAAATAAATGTATGAAGGATTTTCCGCAAGTTATTTGCGGTATAACTTACACTATTTAGTGATAAGTGAATAAAATAGATTATACATACTGCCGAAAATTACCAAACAATATCTATGCAAAAATTTTTTACTAAAAAATACAAAAATAAAAATATTTACCATTTTCTAAAGTTTTGGTAATTTATAATTTAGGAAACACCAACAACCCAATGACAAAGGGGAAGTACTTAATTAAAAAAAACTCTGATTAAACAAAATAAACTCACCATGACTTTCCATAAAATTTCTATCCCACAACGACCGCAGTGCGTGGATATAGCTCGCCACGATTTCCTCCCCCTTTTTCACCTCTTTGAAAGTAGTGACCATCATGACCAGGCTGGTCTCATGAGGACCATACATCACGTTGGCGTCCACGCAGCTATGATTAATTTTGGACGAGGGGATCCAAATACCTGAAGTAGTGAAGCCGTCAGTGTGCTTCCTGTCATGTCACATTTCAAATTTAATTGTAGTCATCATTTTTCTAAATAAGTTATATTGTAATTTCTAAATTCAGTCACATGGTCATGTTGAAGTAGCAAATCTCCGCAAGTCGGGCAATGTCAACCTTCGTAATTTTGGGGTCATCATCCACCAAAGATTTCAGTTCCGGTCCAGCCGAAAGGGAGTAAATTTCATGGCCAAGTTGAGGATCCAGCCAGATCTTGTTGGCCATCATGCCGACAAGATATTCCTTGAGAGACGAGCAGCCATTCAAAAATGCCTTCTTCTCCTCTGCTTTGAAATACACTCCGGCGAAGGGTTTGCAAACGAGGAGAACTGTTCCAACGGCGAGATCCTGCGTGACAAATAATCCTTCCCCCTTGCCAATGTTGCTTGGCCCGAGTCGAAGGGGGCCGTGGTATTCAGAAATGCGGTCCAACATCCCCACCGGTAAATCTGGCTGAGCTTGCTTCGTATTCCGTGGCGCTGGACGTCGCAACGCGGCGATAATTTATTTTCCCAGGGGTTTTCCCAGGTAAGGAATGATTGATCTGTTAAATTTTATATCAACCATTAAATAAATTACGTAATAAATTATAATTATTTTTCTAATTAAATCGCACCTCAATTTGAGAATATCTTTCTCCTCTACGCGCAAGGATAGGAATTTGGTGAGCTTTTCGTCCAGAAATTGCCCACTTTCAGAGTACCGTCCTAGTCCGATGAGAGCCTTGGCGTGACGGTAAATCGCCTTCACGTGACCATTATTGATCTCAAGAACTTTTGTTGTACAAATTAGAGCTGGATTGAAACAGTCCAGTTTGATCAGAGCGGCCGCCTTGTTTGATAAGATGTCCGATAAGAGTGACGACGACGCTGGTGGAGCTATCTTCCCCTCCTCTTCAGGTAAATATTCCAGAGCAATGTTGTAGAATCGGATCGCATCAGTTGCCCGGTTTTCGAGGAAGGCCTTGTTTCCTACGTTCTTCAACTTGGTGGCGATCTCGATGTCGGTTTGTTCAGGAGTGAATTCCCAGACGAGGGGAGAATTCAACACTTTTCGAGACTCGTCGGGTAAATCGGACTTCCATCGGACACCTGGGTAAAGATTTATGTAAAGAAATTAATTAATTAATCGTTAAATTCATAAATTAAAGAATGATTAAAGTCTGTTCAATAATTGATCACATAATCCTCCCTTCATTTAACAAAATACTCATCTAATGAATAATATGATTTGGTCAATAATTTTATTATGTAGTCATCCAATAAACAATTTAACGACTCATGTAATTAAGAATATAAATAAGAATGTAATTAATAATTTAAATAAATCTTATCCAAATATTACCTGGAAAAAGCGTTTTCATCCTCTTGGGACTGAGAAACTCGACATCCACCGGATTTTGGACGATCACTCCAAAGTTGACGTTGAGAGAATCCGTCTCTGGCTTTTTGAAGACGGGATTTTTCACCATCATCACCGTCCGCAAGGGGAGGACCGTTTCGAAATCTGAGATCCCCATTCTCGCAACGGAATAATTGAATAGTGCCAGGCGCATGGCTTTCCTTCCTTCGACATCTTCCACAGCAGTGTCCACTCCGAAGAATCGGCTCGACGGGGTTATCGTTCGACAAAGGAAAAACTTTCCGGTCAAAACCTTCGTTAAAAAATGTCAAATAAAATTAGACGATTGAATTTTTGAGTTCAACAATTTCATAAAAACATTACCCGTCCCACATTCGTCACTAGGGTTTCGATCCCGACACAATTTTTCATCTTCAACTCGACCTCCACCCCCTCGTCGTAGGTGGGATAGGTTTTTGGTTCGAGCAACCCCATAAAATCTTGCTGCATAAATTTCATGCGGTCAATGCCCTCTCGATGAATGCGATTCATGACGGAAATGACCTTATCTCTCGAAGTGTTGTGGCGGATTAAATCTTTTTCAGTTGGACGTCGTAAAGTTGCGGGGACGTTACCCCATGGGTGAGGGGGCGGCATATTTGGTGTTGTTTGTCCAGTGGGTGTCCAGACGGAATTATTTATTATTTAAAATAATTATTTGTTTGTTTGTGACAGAGTTGGGACTTTTGATCAGGTCCTCACCCTCCCCTCCCCTCAGCAGTTCCTCAAATTGTTACTCCTCATCCTCCCCTCTCCTCACTAAATCCTCAAATTTTTAGTCCTCTTCCTCCCCTCTCCTCACTAAATACTCAAATTTCTAGTCCTCCTCCTCCCCTCTCCTCAATAAATCCTCAAATTTTTAGTCCTCCTCCTCCCCTCCCCTCAACAAGTCCTCAAATTTACCTCTTACAAATTATCCTCCTTATCTCCTGTTTATTCAAGTGTCGCAAATCATCACTGCTGTTAATATGAAGACAATCCTCTCTCAAATTAGTCAAGTTTTGACCCTTCTTTACAAATCGTCCAGTCTTGAACAGTTTATTAAGATGACCAACAAAAATACATAAAAAATAAATAAAAATATACAAAAATATATATTTACATGTCTACATGCAAGATTGTAGTAGTAAAACGCCTGAAATATCTCTTCATCAAAACTCGTCCGACGATGATATGGATTTCATGAATGTTTGCTCCACAACACCCACCACGTCGACTCAGGATGAAATGAGTTACATTAATGAACCATGTATCGGAAAAGATGACGACCCGTTGGTGTGGTGGTCACATAACGCCGTTCGTTTCCCAAAACTGTCGATTTTGGCTCGTCAGTTCTTATCAATTCCGACGAGCTAAGGGGAGGTGGAACGTCTATTTTCCATCGCAGGGAATATCAAGAGAATTCGAAGGAATAGATTGAAAAATGAGAATATAGAAAACCTGATATTATGGCGTGAACAGCGTATGGTGACCTTGAAAGATTCGCTTGGGATCAAACACTAAAAAATGACAGCTTGTTATAAACTCGGTGGAAGAGTAGACGGGGTTTTTAATAAAATTTTTGGGGGTCAGACAGTCTGACCTCGCTGGTTAATGTATTTCTGGTCTATGAAATTCTGGTGCTATATTTTAACTTCTTGATGCTGAAGTAACTTTAAAATTAAAATGGAATTCGTAAACTGTAATTAATATGCATAAGTTGTAATACTACAATTTTTATTCCGTACATACATATTTACATTTGTAATTTTTACTTGTGTTCAATTGTTTGGGGTCAGACAGTCTGACCCCGCTGGTTACAATTATGTGTAATTCTTGTCTATGAAATGTTTGTATTATATTTTAATTTGCTCATGCTGAAATAACGTTAAAATAAAAATTAAATTCGTAAACTATAATTAATATGCATAAGTTTTAATGCTACGATTTTGATATGTACATACATACATATGTAGTTTTACTTATAAATTATTTGGGGTCAGACAGTCTGACCCCAGTGGTTAATGAATTTCTGGTCAATGCAATTCGGTGCTATATTTTAACTTGATCCTGTTGAAATAACTTAAGTAAACATAATAAGTAAACATTGAATTTGTAAACTATAATTATATACGTTCGTTTTTATACTGCACATACATATGTAATTTTGGTGTTATGTTATTCACCAAGGAAGAAAATCACCTTGGAGTAAGATAAGTTTTTAAAAAACTTATTTTATTGTTTATTGTTTATTATTGTGTATTGCCACACCCAGTTTGACGGAGCCTTACGAAATGCATTGCAAGATTGCATCTGCACTTTATCTTCCTTTGTTAAAAAATCTTTATCTTGCTTTCCTCCTCCTCCTTTTCTTCCGGCAGAGCACGATGAAGACTTGTTGATACACACAATGTTTAACATTTTGCTTGGTCTGAATAGAGTTGTACTTATGCCATGGCCATGACATTTAGGTATCAGTAGAATGTCCTACTTCTTGGGCATTTTGAAAAAAATACAGTTGGCTTACTGTTAATTAATATTTGCAATGCTAAATTTAGTGCAAATTATATCATATTTAGTTATTTTAAGTTATATAGAGCACGTCACATATACATGACTGTTCAACACATTATCCAACAAATACTTTAAATTCCCAGAAATTCCCAGCATTTTCACTTGAACACATAAAGGGCATATTGGATACTTGTTGGGAACGCTGGGCACGATGGCAACTATTAGCATTTCTTCTCATGCCCAGAGCATTGTACAGCTCTTTTTATTTAACTAATGTCCAGCTTTAACCGTTTATTTGCCCTCATCTCTTCCGGCAATGCTCCATGAGTACTTGTATGTATACTTACAATGTTTAACGTATGCAGGTAGCTCTGATTCTGTTATTTGAAAGAAGTGCTCTGTCCAGTTTAACTATAATGTTTGTGGAGGTGTAGTCAGCCCACGCCATTGTTGGTACTCATTCAAATTAAAGATAAATTAACTAATTTATTCAAAATGGATAAGTTGTATTTTTTCAACACACCTCCTGAAATGGAGGAAGAGGATTTGCGTCGCTTTTTGAGGAATAAAGGTACGGTTTATGGTAATTTTTTTTTTATAAATTAACTAGACGACTGCTTTTTAGTTGGACCTGTGCCCCTCGTGAAAATATTTGAGGAAAGTGAAACCCATGACGCCCAAGGATTCGTCATCTTTAGGGATAGAGAACAGGCTGGAGAAGCCTTGAACTGCAATGGTGATGTATGCATGGGTCGGAAAATATTTTTCCGTTACCCGTGGTCATCAATTGACCAATTTGTGAAGAGGACAAAACATCGGTACGACGACACTACTCCAACTGACATTAGCCAGCCAGTGGAGTTCATGATATTCGAGAGAGGGAAATGTAAGCCAAATTTAATTTCCACTGAGTTATTTGTACTCCTACAACGAGATTTATTGATTATATTTAACTCGAGATTTTTAATTTCCTCAGCGGTGAATTTGTCAATAATTTATTTTCTAATTAATATGTACTGATTATTCAATAGGTGTCACAGATTTACCTGGAAAATTTGAGGCAATAAGTATTGCCTCAGAAAACAAAAGAAAGGTATGAATGTAGTATTTACATACTATATTTAGTTAATCACGTAGGTGTGCAGCAAATTAAATGCTAAATAATCTCCAAATTTCAGGAGCCAAAGCGATACTGGGAACAAGTCCAGCAATGCGAAAGATTCTTTGGCAAGACCAATACAAAGCCGCAAGAAATGAACGAGACCATGGCTAAGGAGATCTTGAAAGCAAATTCCCAGCAAATTAACGTCGGGTCACATCCATTGGAGGATATGATCAAAGGACTTCAGATTGACAAAAAAGTATTCGCGAAATTGAGCTTCGATTATGATTTATTTAAAGACAGCCAAGGTATCTTAGTCTCAACAGTGCGTCATCTCCGTGATTTGGTGACGCATCTTGCAACTAAGAAGGTAATTGGATTAGATTTAGAAGGTTATAACCGTGGAGTGTATCGAGGTACCACAAGTATCATTCAAATTTCCACCGAGCAAAATAATTACGTCGTTGATGCGTGTGCACATCTAATGCGCCCTGCTATTAAAACAGGACTCAAGTTTATTTTAGAGTCTCCAAACACATGGAAAATAATGGCAGGATTAAAATCCGACAATTTATCCCTGCAGAGGGATTTCGGGATTTACCTTTTTCCCGTCATTGAGCTCCAGATTGCTATGCGGTTTTATCTTGAGCTGTTGGGAGAAAAATGCTTAGTTTGTCAGAGGCTGACATCACTATGCCCAAGAGGAAGGCACGGGTCTGTTTTACAAGAATGCATGGAATCTTCATTCGATAAAATATTTAAGCATTTTTATCCCACTTTGGAAATGAGCAAAGTGCCACAAAAAGCCAACTGGTGTACACGTCCAATCCATAATGACCTCTTGCGATACGCAACTTTGGACTCTGCACTGGCGTTGAACATTTGGGACAAGATGGCAGTTCAATTTAGAGAGAAAAGTAAGCTTGACATAATACAGGACGACGTAGTAGTACGCTCCAACATTCTTCTTCTCCAATTAAACCCTTTTGAGAAGGAAGAAGAGGACATTGAAAAGTTTGTTAGAAAAAATTTTAGCTTTGGTGAAGCGAAAGAAATAGGAAGAGCTGCAATGAAATTTCGAAATTACGTAGGTATCATCCCCAAAAAACCTGTTTCCGAAATTTGGCCAGATGAAGGTGTTGTTAAGTTTGTAAATTTATATGTTGGGGGCGCGGAAAACTCGGTACTTATGAAACAATTACAGAAACACTTGAGTTCAGATAATGCATTGCGAGTATTGAAAATAAAAGGCTCCCTGAATTAATTACAAAAGAGGAAAGTGAAATAACTTGCACGAGGTGCAAGCAAAAAGGTCACGTAATGAAGGTTTGCACTGCAGAGCGTGTGCGGACCGATGAGGACCGAAAAAAGGACAAAGACAGGTATAGAGAGAAAAGACGAACTGCAAGAGACTCCGCATTTTCAAGGAAATAGTAAATGGCATATCAAACAATAAAATAAGTTTTTTTAAAACTTATCTTACTCCAAGGTGATTTTCTTCCTTGGTGAATAACATAACACCAAAATTACATATGTATGTGCAGTATAAAAACGAACGTATATAATTATAGTTTACAAATTCAATGTTTACTTATTATGTTTACTTAAGTTATTTCAACAGGATCAAGTTAAAATATAGCACCGAATTGCATTGACCAGAAATTCATTAACCACTGGGGTCAGACTGTCTGACCCCAAATAATTTATAAGTAAAACTACATATGTATGTATGTACATATCAAAATCGTAGCATTAAAACTTATGCATATTAATTATAGTTTACGAATTTAATTTTTATTTTAACGTTATTTCAGCATGAGCAAATTAAAATATAATACAAACATTTCATAGACAAGAATTACACATAATTGTAACCAGCGGGGTCAGACTGTCTGACCCCAAACAATTGAACACAAGTAAAAATTACAAATGTAAATATGTATGTACGGAATAAAAATTGTAGTATTACAACTTATGCATATTAATTACAGTTTACGAATTCCATTTTAATTTTAAAGTTACTTCAGCATCAAGAAGTTAAAATATAGCACCAGAATTTCATAGACCAGAAATACATTAACCAGCGAGGTCAGACTGTCTGACCCCCAAAAATTTTATTAAAAACCCCGTCTACTCTTCCACCGAGTTTATAACAAGCTGTCATTTTTTAGTGTTTGATCCCAAGCGAATCTTTCAAGGTCACCATACGCTGTTCACGCCATAATATCAGGTTTTCTATATTCTCATTTTTCAATCTATTCCTTCGAATTCTCTTGATATTCCCTGCGATGGAAAATAGACGTTCCACCTCCCCTTAGCTCGTCGGAATTGATAAGAACTGACGAGCCAAAATCGACAGTTTTGGGAAACGAACGGCGTTATGTGACCACCACACCAACGGGTCGTCATCTTTTCCGATACATGGTTCATTAATGTAACTCATTTCATCCTGAGTCGACGTGGTGGGTGTTGTCGAGCAAACATTCATGAAATCCATATCATCGTCGCACGAGTTTTGATGAAGAGATATTTCAGATGACGTGGATGGAACGGGATCCTCCTACACAAATATGTATATACACTATTAGTTTAGTAAGCATGCATGCTCTCTCAAATACAAATTAAAATGGGTTCAGTCAGAATCTGAACCCCCGTTCCGTCGTAACATTTTATTTTGAAAATTGGGGTCAGACAGTCTGACCCCGTCAAGTATTTCAAATTTTAAATACCTCACAAATTTCCGGTAACAACTCGGTGAGTTTGATTTTTAACAGTCCTTTGGCTTCGTCTTCAGTAAGGGTTGGAGCGAAAGGGAGGATCATCCTAAATGGCTTAGTTTTCACCCTAGGGTCCAACAGCGAAGCAAGAATATAAGCTTCCTGTTTCATGACGCTGTTGAATCGGGACTCCATATTTGTGAGTAATAATTTCTTGAAGCTTAGAAGTTCCTTGGGGGACGATTGCGAAATATCATAGACAGCCTTTCTAATGGTCATAATAACCCGTGAAGACATTACGGCGTTCCCTTGAAACCTATCGGTCAGGATCTGTAAGGGTTTCAAATATCCCACCATTTCTGAAATTAAGGCTTTTTGATGTACAGAAGGAGGGTCTGGGATTGTAACTCGCTGGCTTTTGTTTTTCGCCTCAATTAATGCTTGCTGGACTGCGATAAAAACATCCTCCTACAGTAAAAAATAATATTGTTAGTTAAAGGAGGAGCTGCAATATTAATTATCCGGGGTCGGACCGTCCGACCCCAGTTGTTATTACCTCGAGCAATCTCTCGGCTGCAAAAAGGATAGAGTTCCAGCGGGTCTGGCCAATCGGGACGACCTGGTTCTTGGTTTTCGATGCAAGCTCGTCACTCATTAAGTTTGATTTTCGAAATATTCTTATGATTGAATTCATGTACCGGACTATCTGTTTGACTTGATCATCTTGCTTGATAGCGTCATTGATAGCTAGCTGGACGGTGTGTGCGAGGGAACGAAGACGTTTTACTCCTTTCAAGTCTATTTCAACATCGTGTGCAACAAAATCATTTGTTAAGTCAAATATCTCCACATCTTCAGCCTCCTCCGCTTGAATTTCAATCTCTGCTACAACTTCTTGGCTCCCCGCTTCAGTTTCGGAATCTGTGGGGTCAGACAGTCTGACCCCATTATCAATATCCCCAAGTTTCACAAAAATTTGCCACGGATCCACAATTTCGTCGTCGAAATTAAAAGCTTTGCATATGTTTGCCGCGTTGTCTGCCATTATGAATCCAAGCCGGTCTTCTGGAATACCTCTTTCGATGATAAGTGATTTAAATGCTTCGCGGATTGCAGTCCCAGTGTGACTACCAATCATCTGCTTAAATCCTAGAGTTCTCGTAACCAGTTTCCATTCTCTAGTAAGGTAGTGAATTTTTACCCCAAGAATCGATTCTCGAGCGAGCATGACGTCCAGATATCAAAGCTTGCGTGCAGTGATCTAGGAGGGAGGTCCAGGATTTCGTTCTCCAAAGAAGGAAATATACCGTCGACCCCATTCCCTAATTTATTCAAAACCGTCTTTCTCGATGGTATTCGGAATTCCGGGCCAATGAAGTTCATTAATGATCGAAACCCAAGCCCTTCGACAAATTGTAACGGTAGTCCATCTACCGAAGCCATGTCCACGAGGTAAGTTAAAAATTGTTGCTGCTTTTTGTCGTTAAAACTCAGTTTATTGTTTGTCTTCACGACGAATTTGTCCAACGTTTGAATTTGGTTGGGTTTAGATCCTTTTGTCACACTTTCCGCGGTGACCCCGTGCATCTGCACATAAAAAATATGGTGCTATCAATTGAAATCACATGTGGGGTCAGTCGATCTGACCCCAATTTTAAATTACAGAAAGCACATGTGTGGTCAGTCGATCTGACCCCAATTGCAAATTACAGAAAGCACATGTGGGGTCAGTCGATCTGACCCCAATTGCAAATTACGAACCACCAGTACCACCACGTGCATACCTTAAGATGTCGCCTCCAATTGTAATAATTCCCCGACGATATCATAACAGGTTTGTCGCATTTGGCGCACTTTCCTCGAATACCATCTTTACTCCTATCAAATTCATCTCCATCTCCGCCTTCAACCGTGCAAATGTATGTAAAATACTGTTCGAATTCTTTTGGAATGGAATAACTTGGATCCTGATACGTTACTTCTAGTTTAGGCCTCTTGGCAGATTTCCCCTTCTTATCTAAAGTCGAAAATAAAAGAAATCTATAATTGAACCTTGTATATATATGTGTATACAATACATTATGCGAATATCAGTATTTAATTAAACAATTCATCATATACGATACGACTAACTTACCAGTTACATCAGGCTCGTCCCTCTTGTCCTCCACCTCGGACACTCTCTGGCATTCCATAATTATGGGGTCGGACTGTCCGACCCCAGGCACGTTTACAAAATAGATCGGCACTTTGGCGCGTTAAAAAATATTGCAATTGTTATTATAAGCTTTCTGTTATTTTTAGTAAAACGAAAGGCACTTTTTACAAAGCTTCTTTCCTGTCCTCTCAATTATCAGCCTTGCGAGCAACACATGGGTAAGATAACGGCTTTTTTCCCGGATGTTGAATTTTGTGGAAAAAGTATCAACTTCCCCTTCCCTCTGAGTTTTAATGAACTCGGTGGACTCCTCTCCACTCACCAAATCCTCAAATTTTTAGTCCTCCCCTCTCCTCAGCAGTTCCTCAAATTTTTACTCCTCATCCTCTCCTCACCGTTTCTTCAAATTTTTACTCCTCATCCTCCCCTCTCCTCACAAATTCCTCAAAGTTTTAGTCCTCATCCTCTCCTCTCCTCACCGATTCCTCAAATTTTTACTCCTCATCCTCCCCTCTCCTCACAAATTCCTCAAAGTTTTAGTCCTCATCCTCTCCTCACCGATTCCTCAAATTTTTACTCCTCCCCTCCTCTCCCCTCATTTTTGAGCAAAAACACTAACTCCTCCCCCTCTTTACTCTTCCTCCTCACTCAAAAATGAGGACGAGGGGCAAAAATCCCATCACTGGTTTGTGAGCTCTCTTTATTCTGTTGTCCGTCTGTGGTCTGGTCTGCGAGGGATAAAAGATTATTCCCTCATTCGCACACTCTCATTTTGCCCCGGCTTCGCTTCTCTGTAAAAGAAAAAAGTCATTGTTCATTCTGTTCGGTTAACATTAGTTTTGAAAAATCGTAATAAGATAAGCGAAAACCTGCATTTTAAAATCTAGTATTTTCATGCTGTGATTGCGACTACAAAGTTGATCACAATTAGGAATGGAAACGTACACCTTAAACCGTGTTTAGGCAAATAAACTTACTTTTTCGCACACATGTAAATTGATTAAGTGGTGATTGGTGCGATCAAAAATGCCAGTCATGATTTCAATTTTATTCTAAACTAGTGTATAAGCCCGTCTCCCGGCGGGGTAGAGCTTATTATTTGATTTTCGTGAAAATTAAGTCGGATTGTTCATAATTCCAGCGAATCATTTTTACTATATAATTAGCTAGAAATACCTGTTGGCGAGGGAAGTGAAGCTTTCTCCGTTTTTACTTCCGTCACGGAAAATTACTTTCACTTCCGTTGCAGACAAACATTTCCAGCTTATAATATAAGAAGAAGATATATAAACCCCCACCTCCCCTATCCAACAATGTTAATGTCCCCACAGCTTCTGCGACCAATGTGCGGATAGAACGGGTTGGATTAATTAATTTCAAATCCCCAAATTGCAGAGAAGGAATAAAGTTTATGCAAAAGGAACTGTTGCCAAAAACTTGCAGAAATTCATCCCTTACATAAAATCAAACCCATATGCGTTCCTAATTTATGTAATACGTATGTAACAGGTGAAAACCTCAATTACGACACCCTTGAAATACATATGGAAAGACGATTTCAAAAACAATGACAGTATTTCTGAAACATACATCAGTCAATTTAATTACTCATTCTTTACCAAATCGTCAAACTAAAGTCAAATTTTTGAAGACAAATTTACGACAAAACAAATAACAAAGTATTGGAAAACTTTAAATAATCATCCCAATTTAATTAACCCGTCTCCTCGTTGAAGAATTCAATCCCAAATTTTTTCAAATCCTCCGGAATCGTGGGGTAATGTCCGGCTCGAACATGTTCCAGCGTACCGGCGTAAAGACGACAATATTTCCGCACTTCTTCCACCCATTTTTCCAGGACGGCCTTTTCCTTGCGCATTTTCATGCCGGCAACCAAAATAGCTTCGGCATAAGCATACTTCACATTGTTCGGCGGGACGTTTCTGATGGCGGCGTAGGCTTCCTCCAAGATGAGGAAACACGAATCGTAACTTCCTGTATCAAGGAAGAAGGTTGCCATTTTATAAATTTCGGGATTCGTCATGGCAAAATTCAAGTCGGGCGTGGCGGCACGAAGAGATTTCAATTCCGTTAGGATTCCCAGGTCAACGTAGATAGTTTTCATATTCGGTATCAATCGCGATTCTGAATTGCGTATTGCATATTTGAGAGGGTGGAATTTCAGTCGTTTCAAGAGTGATTCTCTCTTCGTGATTACATAGGCACCTTCGGATCGGTCCAATTCGCAGAGGCGACACTTGCAGATAAATCCTGTAAAAGACGGGCAAAATTGAAATAGTGTTTTTCAGGCATAAATAATGCGTATTCTTATTAATTACGAAGGTATAAAAATTCACATGAACAATAAAGGTCCTTTATTAAAGGAGGAAATATTTTTAGAAAAATGAAACAAGTTTTTAAGCAATCTTAAAAAGATTTCTTTAAATAATAATTCTATTAAATTGTTTCAAGTATGGCCTATTTTTTAGCAATTGTTCATCTAAACCCTTTGAAAACTTTTCGAATTTTGCATTTCATATTTTAAAAAATGGACGAATGATTTAAGCATTTTTTTAAAATAAAACGATTTACAAAGCAAATATTAAGGTTACTCTATAAATACTTTCCTAGGTTTTATTTAAACCATAATTTAAATAGGAAACAGGAATGACAAAGTCAAAATAATTAGATAGCAAATAAGCTCACCATGACTTTCCATAAAATCTCTCTCCCAAAACGGCAGCATTGGGGGGACATAGCTTGACACAATTTCCTCCCCTTGCTTCACCTCTTTGAACGTCGTGCCCATCATGACGAGGCTGCTCTCGTGAACACCAATCATGACATTGGCGTCAACGCAGCTGTGAATAATTTTTGACTGGGGGATCCAAATACCGGCCGAAATGAAGTGGTCGGCACACTGCCTGTGTCAAATTAAAATTAGAACGTGCTGATTGTCAATTACGAGGCAATTCATTGGTAATTTGTAAAATCCGCAAGTTTTGTAGAGAAATTTTATAATTTTTTTGACAACATAAAAAGACGCCATTGACTTGACGGAGTATGTTTTCCAAAATGTGTAGCCTTAGAAACATTTGTAATATTTTGTAATCTTACAGAATTTACGGATTTTGCAATGTTACTATGCCTATGCAAAATTTTTTCAATGTAGTTACCCTGCAAATCCGGTATTTGTCACGTTAAAGAAGTAAATCTTCTCAAGTCGGGCCATGTCCACCTTCTCAATTTTGGGGTCATCATCCTCCAAGGACTTCAGTTCCGGTCCAGCCCAAAGGGTGTAAATTTCACGGCCAAGTTGAGGGTCCAGCCAGATCTTGTTGGCCATCGTGCCGACAAGATATTTGTAGCAGTTTGTGTTAATTGAAAATTCTTCCTTCTCCTCTCCTTGGACATACAGTCCGGCGAAGGGTTTACAAACGATGAGAACTGTTCCAACTGCGAGATCTTCCGTGGCAAATAATCCTTCCCCCTTGCCAATGTTGCTTGGCCCGAGTCGAAGGGGGCCGCGGTATTCAGAAATGCGGTCCAACATCCCCACCGGTAAATCTGGCTGAGCTTTACACGATGGCCCTGGGCGTCGCAAAGCGGCGATAATATCTTTTCCCGGTGGTTTCCCCAGGTCAGTGATGCTGGATCTGTATGTAAAAATGATAGGCTCAGAATGGCGATCTCCCACCGTATGCTCTCAAATTTTAACCAAATGAGTGTTAACACGATGGTTAACACTAAATAATAATATAATAATATTATTATTATCATTATTATTATTTAATAATTTGGTTAAATCAAATTTGTACTATATTAACTAAATTGAGCACAACTTTACTTGGTACGAAATTTACAAAAGACACGTTATCCCAGTGGTCACGTTTGGCATTCCGCCCGAAAAGTTTAAAAATTTTAGCCTTTTTTATATTGTCCTCTACTTCGGGTGCAAACAACTCCGCCAAACTGCGTCTTGGACAAATTTCATACTAATTAAACTTGTGTACGAGTGATAAATAACGATTTGATTAAAATTGGAGAGCCTACAAGCTGGGAGACAGTTAACTTATCAGGCATTAATTATAAACTGTTGTTACACTTAAATCTCACCTCATCCTGACAAGATCTTCATGCGCTTGGCCCAAGGATGGGATTTGGGCAAGCTTTTCGTTCAGAAATTGACATTCGGCGTATCGTCCAAGTCCGAGGAGAGCCTTGGCGTGACGATAGATCGCCTTGACGTGACTGCTGTCTACCACGAGAATTTTATCCGTGCAAGCAAGAGCTGAATTGAAACATTCCAGTTTAATCATAGCGGCCGCCTTGTTGGATAAGATGTCCGATAAGAGTGACATCCCAGATGGAGTTATCTCCTCCTCAGGAAAGTACTCCAGAGCCAGGTTGTAAAATCGGATCGCATCGGTTGCCCGGTTTTCGAGGAAGGCCTTGTTTCCCACGTTCTTCAACTTGGCCGCGATCTCGACGTCACTTTGTCCCGGAGTGAAGTCCCAGACGAGGGGAGAATTCAACACTTTTCGAGATTCGTCAGGCAAATCGGCACTCCATTGGATACCTTATCAAACAATTAAGTATGTATATGATAAATTACTTCATTTAATAAAGTTCATTAGTATTTAATTAGATGACTAATTAATTTTCATTATCAAACTAATTAAGCTTAACATGATTAAAAATCTGAGTAATATTTTAATTAGCCAGTCTCTAATGATGCTTTTAACGAACGACTTCTAAATTATATCTTCTAAACGCCATGATCCGAGACAAACAAATGAAGAAGTTCGAAAACCTCTCACGAAAAAAAATTAGTCCTCGAAGATAGATCACACTCCACACAACACCGATCTACACAATTATGATAATTATGATACGAACAAAGAGATTCAAAGCATGAAAAGGAGCGTCCTAAATTTATCACAACGACAACTTACCAAGGATGAAACGAAGGCACTCCAATTAGGATTAAATTTCGCCCTCCCAAATTTCAAACACAAGGATTTATTAATCGAAGCAGGGATAAACATTGAACTATGCATGATGGATTTCGAGAAAAGTGAAAATTACAAAAACCACATCAGATCAGGTATTGCGAGAATTTTACACTCAGAAATTAAAAAACCGGATAAAGTCACCAAATCCTTCGACTGGCTTAAACCAATATGCACAACTCTCAAAAAAGATCAAAACATCGTTATCATACCTGCTGACAAAGGTAATTTGACCGTGATCATGGACAGAATAAATTATGACACCAAAATAGAAGAATTACTCTCAGACCCAAGTTATTCACCATTACCTAATGATCCCACAACCAAATTAGAAGTTGAAATCAGCAATATGTCGAAAAATCTGCTTAAAATGAAAAAACTTGACAAATCACAACATCAAAATATCACCCCAACCAACTCTAAAATCCCACGATTTTATGGATTACCGAAGGTACACAAAACAGGTCTACCTTTCCGACCAATCGTTGATTTCCGTTCATCACCATCCTACAAACTGGCCCATTTCTTGAACAAAATCCTGAAGAAAGTAACTGCCAATTTCCCAACACACATCAAAAATTCATACGAATTTGCCCAAAATATCAAAAACTTCATTATTCCTCCCGGATATGAACTCGTCTCATTCGACGTAACGTCCTTATTCACTCGAGTTCCAATCAACGAAACTCTGAAAATCATTAAGAAAAGGCTAGATACATCCACAACCTGGAAAGCAAAAACCAAATTAAGTGCAGATGAAATTTTAAAATTACTACAAATCACGATAAACTCGAACTATTTTACTTGGAAAAATGTCATATACAAACAAAATGATGGTACTCCAATGGGCAGCCCCATTTCCGGAGAGTTCGCAGAATTCTTCCTCCAAGAACTTGAGAAAAAGGTCGTCCTAAAACACCCGGACATAAAACTACACAAACGATTCGTAGATGACTGTTTCTCATGCATAAAATCAGGAACAAAAGACAAAATCCTGCATGACCTCAATTCGTTCCATCCAAACATACAATTCACCTGTGAAACAGAAATAGACAAGAAACTTCCCTTTCTCGACATCATAATTACATATAATAATGATGGACAAATACAAGGACAAGTCTATAGGAAACCCACTCACACAGGGAGATACCTAAATTACTCATCTTACCACCACCCTTCCCAAAAGATTGCTGTAATTGATGCTTTAGTTTACAGAGCATTAGCAATTTCGGATGACCAATTCTTAGAGGATGAACTTACCTTTGTGACCACCTCACTTACAAACAATGGTTACCCAAAAAGTCTCATCAACCAACGAATATTAAGAATGAAGAAAAAATTCTCGAATACGACACTCCAGCAAAATGGCGCTGAAGAAGGAGAAACAAAGCCACGAATCATTCTTCCATACATGGGAGCACTAACGCACCGACTAACTGGTTACCTCCGGAGAAAACTTCAATGCGAATTTGGATATCTCACGGGAAAAAAGATGAAACAATTTATATGTGATTACAAGGAAAACCCACCTCCCGACCTAGTAGGAATTTATCAAATTTTATGCTCATGTAATGACAAATACATAGGAGAAACAAGTCGCCCCCTCATCAAACGCATAAAAGAACACCTAAATGATATCAAAAAGAAGAATATCAAATCAGCAGTGGCGCTTCACATTTTAGAAAATCCAAGTCATCGGATAACAGAAGACTCAGCAAGTCTTATTGTCGCTGAAAGGAGAAATTTTCACAGAAAATTTCTTGAAAGTTTGCACATAAGAAAAACTACCGACGCCATAAACCAAGACAATGGCATGAATATCAACCCCATTTGGTCATCATTAATGCTACCGCTTATTTAAACTCCATAACTACATTATAATGCAACAAATATCATTTTTAATTTGAGAAATGTACTGTTTTCGATTTCCAAACAATTGTTAAAAGTCCTGATGTCCTGATGATGAAGTTCAGCATCGAAAGCTTGAATAAATTGCTTTTAGAAACCACACCCATGTATTCCGACGAAACCTCCTTAAATTATAAGTTCTAATTCAATAAAGAATATAATTAAGGTTTTTATCAATAACTTGATTTCAATCTAATTAATTAGTTACTAATTATTAGTGCGATATCCTACCAAAATATTACCTGGAAAAAGCGTTTTCATTCTTTTCGGACTGAGCAACTCGACGTCAGCCGGATTTTGAACAATAACTCCAAAGTTGCAAGGTTCCGGGGTATCTTTCCTGAAGACGGGATTTTTCACGATCATCACCGTCCCCAAGGGGAGGACAGCCTCGAAATCCGATTTCCCCATTCTAGCATCCATCGAACAATGCCAGGCGCACGGCTTTCCTTCCTTCGACATCTTCCACACAAGTGTCCACTCCGTATAATCGGCTCGACGGGGTTATCGTTCGGCAGAGGAAAAACTTCCCGGTGTAAACCTTCATAAAAATAAGAACATTGAATTTTCGAAATTTCAAAAATTCCCTAAAAACCTTACCTGTCCCAGATTCGTCACCTGGGTATCGATGCCGACACAGTTTTCCATCTTCAATTCGACCTCCATCCCCTCGTCGTAGGCCGGATAGGTTTTTGGTTCGACCAAGCCCATCAACTCGTGAGTCGAGACCCCCTGCTGCTTCACGGTCATGGGGCCAAGGCCCTCTCGATGAATGCGATTCATGACGGAAATGACCTTATCTCTCGAAGTGTGGTGACGGATGAAATCTTCTTCAGTTGGAGGTCGTAAAGTTGCTGGGACTCTAAATTTTTTACTGATATGATTTTTGTGTGGCATTTTTGCTGTTGTTTTTGCCGTGGGGGTGTGCCAAGGGGGATTTATTTATTATTTTTTTACTGCGTTGTTCTCTCCGGTCGGCGTGGTGTAGGAGTTTAAGATTCCCTGGTTCGTGTATTCTCTTTTTGCCCCGGTTCCGCTAAACGATAAAAAATCGTTGTTGTATGAAAATCTGCATGAAACGCTGTGAGAAATCTTCCTTTATGAATAACTGGATGCTGTTCGGGTAGCATATTAAAATTAAATTTTCTTGATTGTTTCTTTATTTTTTAAATTAAATCAGTAAATTAAAGCATATCATTATAATCCAAAATTTAGTAATAACATTTTATGACTACTTATTTGCTATTGAAAATACTGTTTTAGCATTACTTATGTACACAAATACATATTTTTAATCCCGTCTCAAATTTCCCTCATTCAGCGTGCATGTATTTATTAAGGAGGAGAATACGTACCTCGTTAAATTAAACTTACAATTACACAAATTCATGTCTAAAAGATAAGATGAAACGACGTACTTATCAGGATCTACGTCGTTACCAAGTACGTAAATACATTTCGAATTTGCGTAGTAAACAACAATCGTCAACACTTTGTAACGCTCGCATGCATGCATAAATTTGTACATACGCACGTCCATTCATATGAAACTTTTTAACAGAAAATTACCCCTCAATCATATTTATCCAGGTGCATAGTTAATTAACTCTTCCCATGATCCACACAATCATAAAGCGTCATTCTCCGCTCGCATATCGTATTTAATCAGGGGACGCGGAAATGTGGTGGTGCAGAAACCTCGCGATAATTCTACCTGACATTTACATAGATAACCTCTTATCATCAATGCACCTCACTTATCGTTCAACTTGATCCATGCGCATATTATTATAACCTCCAGATTTCTAGACTGGTTCCGCGGCCTATGCGGCTTATTGACTGACACCGGGCCGTCCCACTGATTATTTATCAGCACACAATAATGTCAACCTGTTTTGACGCACCTTGTCAATCCAAACAATAGTTGACATTACATATAAAGTAACAAATTCAGTCCGTTCGCTTGTCGTCATATTTTCGTCGCAACTTTTTTGGTATAAAATGGACCAAATTGTGCAAATAATGGTCAGTTCCATCAGAGAAGCAAGAACCTCGCTGAATCTAAACATTTACTTAAATACAATTTTTTGCAAACAAATAATTACAATGATGACCGCAAAACAGTTAGTTTGCTTATTGTCCTTCGCCTTTTGCATGCAGACTGCCTGCTCCCAGGTCACACAGCCCCCTGAATGTGGTCAGATTGAGGAGGAGGTGAGAAATTACTTATGCAAAATAAATATGTTGCAAAAATTTGTATTTACTATATTTCTCTCTTTTTTCGCAGTATATGCCGTATTGTCCACCATGGGAACCAGGTCGTCCAACTTACCACCCGTATCCGTACGACTGCAAAAAGTTTCTCGAGTGTTCCAACGGTGTAGCGATTGTATGTACATTTCATTTATAAAATTTCTGCACATAAATAATTGTGTGTGTATGAAAAACTTTATTTTTTTACAAAACTTTGTTATAGGCGCAATGTTGTGCACCTGGAACAGTATGGAATCAAGACTTGCTAGTCTGTGATCATGAATCGACGACGCCATGCGTCATTTTCACAACGCCACCGCCCACGGCGACCACACCCACTACGACGCCAACAACGACCACGACCCCAACAACGACCACAACCCCAACGACCACCACGACCCCAACGACCACCACAACCCCAACGACCACGACCCCAACGACTACCACGACCACAACTACTACACCAGCCCCAACAACTACAGATGTAAGTAGAATTACTTAAAATGCCTCTCCCCCTTAAAGATTTATCGTTATGTAATTGTGTTACCCTTGTCAACTCCCAGGACCCAATTACCTGGATTTGTCCGGAAGGTTATCAAGGACCAATGGCCCATCCGTATGATTGCCATTACTTCTATATCTGCGATCCCGGACGGCGTGCCTGCCTTATTCAGTGTGCCTCTAATCTGTACTACAACCCGGTAAATATTTCATATTCGGATATGCAAATATGAGCCAAACTTCGTAAAAATTTAAAAAGGCAGCATAATAACATTTTTAATATATGGGTATATGTAGGACACTGAGCAATGCGACTGGCCCAACAATGTCCCCAGTTGCGTAGGAGGCACTCCCCCACCTGGCACACCCACCCCGAAACCACGCACCACGCCATCATCCCTACAAAATTACAGGAACCAACGGAGAGATACTGCACAAGATCCTTGCGCCTCGGACGAAACAGTGGTTAAATTTGTTAAGAAGGCGAATGCCAAATATTTGTCTTAATTATTTCCTCGTGTTTTATATTTTTAACAAATTTTATTTTCAAAATAAACACTTCCATGACTAGCTAAATGGAATTCATTAATTATCACCTACAAAATAGAACATAAACCCAAAAACTGTCAAGTTTTGGATGGAATAAAATGTTCAAATTGTAAAAAAAAATTCACGGATATTAACACAGTCGAAATGGCGATTTGAATACATGGACAAAGAGAAAGTCATGGATGTATAAGGATGAAGCGACGAGAGCTCTTTGTTAATAGATTAAGGGGGATAACTTCAGGCCCGTGCCTGAGTGGTGGCGACTGTGTCCTATAGAAACTGATATAGCGAACTTGCACGCCACATATAGGACACAGGCCTTCTTTTCATCCAGCCTCAAATTGTGTCTCAGGTTCTGTGGTAGTTATTATTTTCTCTGTCAGAGCGCTCCCCTTCATCCGTTTTGATCGAGTCTCCAATTTAACTATGGTGCTACGAGGTATTGGAGAAAGTTGAGACAAAAAATTGAATTCAAAACCCGCATACAATGGGACCTTAAGCTTTGTTATACATACATTTCTCCATGAAAGTTCATATTTATTCAAATTCTCAAAAAAATTGACAACAAAAATGTCTAATTTAAAATGACACATTTCAAAAAACAATTTATTTATCCAGGAGCAACATGTTAATCAACCTGTCCACACAAAACTGCCAAATAATGAATGATGTCAACCCGTCGAAAAACTTGCCATCTCCCATCCCCACTTTTAAGGGAGGACAGGACCTCAAAAATTTCTTAAACCATGCATTTTGTGACCGCAGACTTGTCATATTTTTTGCAAACTTTACAGTCACAACGTATGATTTACTCAGAGAATGCAACGTGATATGAATTACTACAAAGAAATCGATTCCCATCAAGTAGAAAAATGCAGACACGCCAAAACTTATTTTTTCCCAGGACGTTATGATCACGTAAAGTGAAATTATTTGACACATGATGGACAAGGAGACGAAAATGGTGATGAGAGGCTTCCCCATGACAGAGTTGACCAGGTTTTGAAATACTTGTGCGACACGAAAAGCGGATAATCCATGAATTGCGTATTTGTAATGGGCCAGTTGCCTGAAAATTATTACATTGTGAATTTTAAGAAATTTCATTTTTGTAATAACAACCATTTGTACCTGTTCATATTCATTCGTTTAATTGAGGGTTAATAAATTATTCATTCATTCGTAGATAAATTCATGAATATCTGATGTGTGAATTATTTGAAAAAAATGGGATTAATATTGAATAAATTCATTTCACATTCGTGAGGAATGAATGAATAACTTTAGGCATTATTCATTGTGCACTCTATGCTTAATACATAGGGCACATTGAAAAATCTCTACGGCGAATTTGGTTTAACATGAATAAAAAATGAATGATGAATAAATACTTATTATACAAGTTATTATAAATGAATAATGAATAAACGATTTTTTTTCAAATCTTTAAACTGAATGAATTTTGAATGAAGAATTTTTTAACAGGAAAATGTAAAACCTCACCCTTCAATCATCTTGATCCACAACTCCACCATCACTGAAGGATACAGCATAAGTCGACTGATCGTAACCACCATAACTGCTGGCACCGAGAACCAGACATACCCCTGCATAAAGCCATTGATAAGCCGAAACCATAATGCGGCGTCCTGGTCACTCCACCCATCCCGACATTGAAGGAGAACCGCGTTTGCAATTGAGGGTGGCATGCAGGGTCTAAAAATTCCTAACGCCCCCAACATTACAGGAATTGCAAACAATGAAAACTTGCAAGCATCAAGATTCGAAAGGATGTTGATTTTCGCGTAGTCTGATGCCCCTGAAATTTATAAAATTCAAAAATCAGCAAATCCAGGCATAAAAATTCCATTGTTGGAAATCTGGTAAATTGACAGAGATATTGATTTATCCGTATTAAAGTTGCTACCGCCTGGTAGTAAAATTGTACCGGTGTGTAAAAATTTTCTACTGATACGGGAAAACTTAAATATCTTACTGCATCCTATTACTTGTCAGTCAATTTTTTTCCGGGTCATAGTTCATACATGTCTACATCTTTATACCGGTTGGTATTGTTTTAATACTGAAATTAAAAAAGGTACTTACCTCTGCCCACACATTTCTTCTCAATCCATACACAAGTTTTCAGCACTTGGAGCAATTCTCTTTTACGAAAAAGGAGACAAACGTGAAGACCAAATATCATATCATACGAAATAAGAAAGTAAAATGCAATTACTTTCTGCCAAACGGGAAGACTTATGCTTCCGTTCGAGTTATAGATATTTTTATAAAACCAGAACGAATACATGACATTGTAGAAGAACCATATTAAAGCAGTGCAGACGTAGATGACCCAATGTCGTATTTTATCAATGATTAAAAAACGCGTGCCCTCTTTTCCCCCAGATTCTGACGTTAAAGGAATTGCAAATGACCTTAGCGACCATTTAGTCAGCCAGGACATAAGAGATAAGTATGAAGTCTCCGAGTGGGAAAAGGGGCTGGCAAGCTTTCGTAACAGATTATCCATTTTAAAAGCATGAACCTTAAATTCTTTAAATTTCTGGGTGAAAGTAGAAGTGAAAGTTTTCACCATCCTGTCCAAGAAAAACTGTCTTTAAATGGGAAAAAATTGGCAATACATCAGCCCAGTCATAAAATGACAAAGATATGCGTCACTTATGCAAATTACTGTAATCCGGCTGGTTCATGCTTTTATTACTCCTTGAAAGGAGGGGTTATTAAAATCTGGCAAAGCAATATTTACGTTAGTCGTCAAAATTCATTCGGTAACACGCAACAATTTTATTACTACTCTTTAAGACATTTTCATTTAATGGTAGGTGATTATTTCGTTAATGTCAGCCAAAATCATGACTTAAAAAGTTGTATGAATGGCTTAAAGAGGATTTCTGTGTTGCAATCCAAGTATGATAATATGTTTGTAAAAACACCTTAATTTTACTACTTCTGTCATCTTATGTATATTTGCATACATACATACATAGACAAGATAACTATTTATTAACCAACCGTTCACTGAAATGTTAATTCATTGTGTAAGTTTTAAATTATCACTAATGAGAAATAATGAAATCCCAAAATCTAAATACATATAAATATGTACATGTGAATTAACCAGCAACTAAAATTAATTGCGACAATATCGTGCAAATATTATTTTCAGTATACATACTTTATACTTTCAAATCGTTACATTGTTAAAAATTCGAACATCTTAAAGTTCTTTTAAAATAACACTGTATGCGACGAGGTACAAATTTATGTAAATAAGGTTTGCATTATTCTACTATATTTTACTAAAAATCATAAGTCCTAACTCGCTGGTGATCTAATTTTGATCACTATTTTTCACCTTACAAAATACTTACAATGCGATGGTGTTAAGTCTAACCCTCCGAATTGGTTGAAATTTTGGAATTATGTGGTCCAAGTCAATACAACCAACGTTTCTTGAGGCAGTTTGTGCGATGGTTCGAACTTGTCGAAATATTTGATGTCAAAGTTCAAAAAATGGGCGATTTTTACTAAGCGGTGGAAGCAAACCCCACTCCCATTACCTTCAAACGGGAAAATTGCACATTTTTCAACTTTGACCTCAAATATTTAGACAAATTCGAACCATCGCACAAACTGCCTCAAGAAACGTAGTTTGTATTGACTTGGACCACATAATTCCAAAATTTCAACCAATTCGGAGGGTTACACTTCACACCATCGCATTGTTAGTTGCAATAATCCGTATCATAAACAGAGGGGTTTAATGACTAAATTAAATATTATTACATTGTTTGTGGCGAAATCACATCGAATTGTGCACATGAATTTCTTCAGATTAACGAAATACAGATATTGGATGTGGTAACCATTAAGTTTTAAAATCTTTAATGGTCGTTGTGATAATTTCGCTTAGCCAATCAAAAAATTGGATTTGGAGGAGGACGTGACGGCGACGTGAAGCATAAACGCACCTTTAGTAATTTAATTTAATTAAGGCTGACGCCAAAGTGATGCAAATTCGGCACAAACTTGGAAATAAATCTAAAAATAATTTCACAGATAGCTATTTGCCTTTAGACTGGGATATCTTCCTCATCAGTTTTACTTTCTTCTCATTGTATTGCAATTTCAGATTATGGATCCTCTTATTTATCAATCTCTTTTTCTGCTTCAGATGATTCTTTTGCTCAAGGTAGTTTATTTTAAGTAGCGTCAAATCATCTGCATCTCGAAGCTGCGTGGATAGTTCACCATCTGGGAATTCTTCTGCGTGTAAGGGTTTAATTGGCACTTCTAGGATAGAGTTCCCTATTCCAGTGCCAAGAATTCATGCATACATACATAAGCTCAATATTCATATAAATGGAAAATCAAATAATCACATACGTTCGCTAAAGGTTAAGGAATCTACATCATGTTCGAGATTGACTTTATCAAATTTTGTTAGATTGTCGCCATGATTTTGCTTCTATATAGGAATGCAAAGCAACATGAATTATCAGTAACAGCCTTAAAACTTATGAGAGTATGCAGTTCTAGGACAAAAATTATTATTAATTCAGATTAATATTGATTTTCAGTCCTCCTTCTAAAGTTATTTGCAAGTTTGTAACGGTTAGATATCATAATAGAATAATTGAACTTGTCTTTTAATTGAACTTTTCAAATTCTATTTATCTATGTAAAAGTAATAAACTTTATAACATACCATGTATTTATCAATCTTCTTCTTTGTATCTAGCGTATCTTGGTTGTCCGCGCCAATAAGGTTTACTTGTTTTTGGAAGATTTCTTCCAGCGTTTTTACCGCCAAGTTTTTCTCATTCAAATGAAAAAGTGTCCTCCCCAACATATACCCTGTGATCAGTCTTTTAGCGGCGTTAGCTTGCAGTCGATCGTCCGGCTGACGAAGAACCACTTCAAATTGATTTTTTGCTTGGGCATAGTTTTTAGTTTTGTAATAACAATATCCTAATGAATGTGTTACTCTCAGGGCATCCTCGGGCATATTGTTTCTTTTCTGCCAGTTGAGTACCCCCTTAAGTTTGACTTCCGCATCGTAAAATCGTTTGATGCCAATTAGTGCACCGGCAATGTTTGAATGACATTGATTAACTTCTCTACTATTCTCCCCATAGATTTTAATTTTTCCGACGAGAACTTGCTCGTAAAGATCTAGGGCTTCATCAAATTTCTGTATTGTATAATACGAGTTGGCCAGATGCTGTTGTATTTTTAAGATGCCTTCGATTGGTTTGTCGGATGGTATGTCAGAGGGTTCGTCGTATGGTTTATGAGCATTGATAATTTCAGTGAATAACGCTATAGCTTCTTCTCCTTTTCCAACTCGCCGTAAGGCTAGGCCATAATTGGTCTTCATTTCCAACAGCAGTTCCGAATTTTGTGAACTCTCGCTTTCGCATAAGTTATTTATTGTGCGTTGCGCAAACCACAAGCTCTCAGAGTACATGCAGCACTGATCTAAGCGTTTTGATATTTGTGGAGCCATAACAATCAACTTTAAGCAGATAGCCTTCTCTTTCATTGCATGTTCCCAAATACAAAGAAAATGTCTAATCTCCGATACAGATTCGCATTTAGTTTCTAGTTTTATAAGTATGTTGTGCAAGGTTTGGCTGTCTATTGGCTTAAGATATCTTACTACCTGTTGAACCGTAGTATTCATTTGCAGGCCGATTTCTGCTTCGCATTTTATTAAACACAGTGCATTCAAGAAGTTTAAACTGTCCTGAAAAACTGTATCATCAAAGGATAATTCCCAGCATGTGAATGCCTGCCTCAAAAATTTTAAATCGACATGATCTGGTCCAAGAAATGCAATAATTTGTAGCAACTTGAACGAATATCCGTTCTTTCCATCCGCAGTATTACTTTGCGCTTGAACTCGATCAATTGTGGTCGCTAAAGTTTCTTGTATTGTTTTCCCGTACTTAGACCCACTAAATTGGGCGAATTCTATAGAAATCAAGGTTTCCGACCTTGATTTGCATTCTTCAATGTAGTCATGAATAGTGTCCTTTGACACATAATGAATCTGTTTGTACTTCAAGTAAAAGGTAACCTTTTCCAAAGCTAACGGGTAGTTATTGACAAACTGGCACAGCTGTCGCATGGATGCCTCAGTTTCTAACTTCAAATAGTATTTCACAAACTTTAGAGCTGATTCTTCGTCAAGTTCTGTGACGTCAATCAAGTGGCTCCTTTGAATAAAGTATAAATTTCTATCGAGGCAAGTCAGTATGACCATAGCCTTTGAATCCACTAAGTTTTCCAAAATACTAGGTGCGACAGTATCAGCTGTGCATCCGTCCAAAATCAGAATCCATTTTTGATTGGTACTTTTGCCAATATGAATTGCAATTGTTACTAACAATGATCCAGGATCCCCCTTGTTAAAGTCTAGTGTGAGGTTGGGAAGATAGCTCTCTGCCACGTTTGCTAAATCTTGCTTAAATCGGGGCAATGAGTCTGTGCCGATCCATATGCATGGTACTTTGTTTTTTATTTGTTCATTATGAAGAAATTGTTTAACTAGTTCCGTTTTTCCCATTCCTGGTAATCCACACAGTGTTACTATTTCGCCTGACGTAGGTTTAAAATAAATCCTGAGCAGTTTAGAAATTTGTTTGTCTCGACCGTAAAATGGATTTATGCCATTATTTATATTGACCCAATATGGATAAGAGTGTCCTTGATAGGATTGCACAGACCCTGCAACAGATAAAAATACAAATTTTAAACATTTCAGTACCGACTTTTACATACATGCCTCAAGATGTACATATGTATGGCTATTCATAATACTAGAATTTGCATTCCTTCCACAATCGCAAGAATTTAAACACAGACACGTCGAACAAAGAAATTATGCGTAAAAAATGATTAGTATAAATCATTGAAAAATTTATTTTTAAGGTAAAAAATAAAAAAATAATTGAAACAAAATTATATAAAAAGCAATACACATTTTTAATTGATTATTCAAAATTATTTTGAATACTTGACACTTTCACTGACAAATTTACAAATAGCTGCCTATTCTTCCCTCTTATAAATACAAGTTTTGGGTAGCATCCGCACGAAAAATTGATCAATCCTTACCATAAATTTGTAAACAATTCGACTTTTTAAGAGTCTCCTTGAGCAAGCCCAACATATGAGCCTCCCCACGTTCGCTTGTCGCATGGTCTAGCAATTTTTGGTAGAGGTGTTCCAAGGTCATAGACCCTGCTATAAGGCTTTGCTCCCAGGTCCCGAATTCGGCAATTTTTTCGTCGCTCAAAATTTCCGTAAATATTTCCCTCCATTTGTTGTGGAAGGTTTTATCTTTAAGAAATGCTTCTTTAATGAATTTAATTACAGACATTTTTCAAAGTATTATTGCTCACAAGGGAAAATTATATGTAGTCGATTATTTACAACGAGTAGAATCTTAATGCCATTCTACATACGTGATGATTTTCGATATAATCTCGCTCACAAACAATGACATTATTTACTTATTCATGCCTACTGCCCGATAAGCAAGTCGAGTCGACATCCTGCGCATCCTCAATCAAAACAATTTTTACATAAATCGCACCTTTCATTATTTGAAGGAATGATGCAAATGAGTTGAACTCAGCCTGCGTCGCAGATTCTGGATTCATTCATAATGTGAACTTCACACTTCATGGATGAGATTTCCAGCTATTTAGAAGCTGGAGGATAGCGACCCCAACTTGGCGTTTTGGAGTAGGCACAAATTTACATAACTAAATATGCCTGATTGCATGCAGTTCATTAATCTTGCCAACATTACAATTATATACAGATGTTTGTATGCATCAACGTTTTATAATGAACGTACATATTTGTTTATTATCATGAATTGCGAAAATAAAACACTTTACTACAAATGGTGCAAGTAGGTATGTATTTACAAGCGTCTTATCTCAACTGATAAACGTGTCGCTATGCATGTATTTATGAAAGGACGATGGACTGGAATGATGAGCTGGGGTTTGCATGATTTTCATGAACAAATAAACTTCGTGGACCAAATAAGCTTTGCTAAAATTATGTAGTTGGAAAACTGCATGCATCAAGGAATCATCACATTTCCTGTCTTCCCATTTTGAACAAAATATGTTTCCGACACGGGACGTGGCAGGACGTCTAATTCGGGATAAGAAATTAACCGAAAATCTGTCTGGTTTTGCGACTGCCCTTTCAGATGATTCTTGGCCCGAGGAAGTTCAAGTTAACGAGAATGACAAGCTGAACTTTATTAAGGAAATATTGCAAAGATGGGTAACAAAAAATGGGATGGCAGCTACTCTGTCCAAATTGGTGGAATTACTTTTGATGGCAAAACTTGATGGAGCTGCAGGTAAGCAGACAAACATAAGTAAACACACTACGAAATTAATAGTTCATTTTTAAGTGTGATATTGCATGCAGGCATAATCCAGCAAGGTTTTGGGATGTACGACAAGCAACTCGGGCCAAATCCTCCGTTCACTTAATTAAGGAAAATCATGTCTTGTGCAGACATACATAAATTATGCATTTATTAAAAAAAATTGTAAATATTCCTTTGCCAATAAATTTAAGAGAATAAAATAAACATATCCAATACCGCTTTGTCCTTAGTGTTGCATGATGTGATTTATTACATGCATGTACATAAAATGTAGTTCAGATGTTGGAACCCAACCTACATAATTTTCAATAATACTATCTTATCAGTATAATGATAAGCTAAGAGTGATTCTATTTACGTTTTAAATAATAACATACAAATTGTACATAGGTATATTTTTACATATGCATACTCTTAGAAAACTGGTATTATATCATTAATGACCGGAGTACACATACATATGTACCTACCGTCGTCACCATGATAAATAACGATCATCACGGTTTAATAATGTCTAAGCAATGAAAAATTCACCACTCTGAAACGAACTACATATGTATGTACGAAGTGAAATGTGTATATAACCACTGGGCATAAACATAATCTGGACACTCTAAATAACTTGGAGATCAATCGTCACCCTCGGCGGCACTAGATCCACTGCTCTATTTTTGGGTAATGATTCAGGAGACGACGTTTTGTCACCAACGAAAAATATGCATGCAAGGAAAAAACTCGTTCGTCCTACATGAACGTGTATTTAAATAGTTGCTTAAAAAATTAAACTTTTTATCCACTTAAATATAAAATTTTGCAGAGTAAGCCTGGGGTTTAACTATGGAAAACCAATATCCAGATATCTTACCAAATTTCGCATTAAATTGACATAAATAAGCATTTGTCAAATTTAACATTTCGCGACCTTTCGTGACATTCTTGACCTTGACCGGTGTGATCTACTTCTTTGACGTCAACCTTTGTTTTTACGTTCCAAATTTCAAGTCAATATGTTAAGGCGTTCTTATGTCACCTCGTGCACAGACAGACATACAAATATATCTATATGCAAATATTTGTATTTGTATCAATCTTATAAATATGTAAAGAGGGTTCACCCCTTAATAATTGGCTAACTTTTACCTGGCCAATCCTTATCCCAAATTTTACTAAGCCTTACCTAACCCAACCAGAGCGAGTACTTTAGTAAAAAGTTATATAGTTTTTAATATTAAACATCACAAGAACGACGGGTCCACGCTTAGAATAAATTCAGCCGCATTAAATCATGGGGAATGACGTGCGTACAAAAATTCTTAAGATGCTACGCCAATGCTTACATAACTAAACCCAAATAATTTCGTATTTAGTGGCAATGATCTTGCCCAAGGTTAGATTACCCGCGTAATTTGCGATTGATAGGAGATTGATAGATCAAAGTAATAAAACTACACGATATCGATTCAAAATTTCTCCAGAGATTGAAAAGTTTAAGCAGAATGATGACCTTAACTTTATCTCTGGCTGTTTCAGCCTTAGTTCTGCTGCAAGTCGTACATTTTTCGAAATGCCAACTTCCTACCCTGCCGAGTTTACAAATTCCACAGGTATGCGCTAGAAAAAATAAATTCTTACAATTATATATATGGTTTAAAGCATTTTTTAAATTAAAAACACAGCTGCCATCATTGTCTATAAATGGGTCCATTAACTTATCTCCAACTGTACCCAGCCTACTGCCTGTGTTGGACAGTTTAATCCCTACAATTCCTCCGATCGATATTCTACCCTTTATTCGATTGCCAATTAATCAAAGTAAGTTAAATATCTTAAATAAAATTCGGAACGAGTTGGCTAATACATTTTCCTCGTCCCATCCTGCTATTCGGTTTTAGCGAAAATAAACTACATCTTTTTATTCGGTCAATTCATACCAACCAATTTGCACTCATTAATTTACACCAAGCAAATCGCACACACGATTCGTACTCATCGATTTTTGTAACATAGCTCGTTACACAGTCCTTATATTTTTGTAGTGGGTGTGGGACGTACATATATTACGTCATCAAAAGGCGCGGATTTTTATACCACCCACCCTCTCATTTCTTAACCTACTCATGTTATGCTTAACACGATTGAGATGAGCGATCCAAAACCACAAACCCTCCTTTTAGACGACGTATAATATATGGATGATCCCTAACCATATTTGTGTAAGTGAATCTAAATTTTAATTTTTGACTTCTTCCTCCAGCCAAATTTACCTGTCCCACCCCCTTCGGCATCTTCCCTGACGTTGAAGACTGCCACACCTACTTCGTTTGCGTCCTGAACCTCTACATCAGGAAGAAATGTCTCTTCGGAAAGTATTTCAAACCGGATGATGTCATCTTTTGTCAGGAATACGACTCCCTCCAGCCTCCTCCCGAGTGTTCTCCGTGTCACCGCTTCACAACGCCACAAACCTGCCCCACCCAATCGAACCAGTGCTCTTTTTGTGTCGGGCAGAATTTTACCGGACAATACCGCTGAGACACGGCCGACAATTTGGCCAAAAATGGATGCTCCCCCAACAAAATTTACAACAAATCGGGTAATAACGGACCCAATAATTTACAACCTGTCGGATCGTCGAATCAGTCAAACCCGGTTGTCAACCTGTTACCCGGGGATCGTAAAAACGTCACTATTTCCTTCCGTCTTCAACACCACGCGTTAGACTTGTACTTGCTGATGGACATTTCGGGGTCCATGGGTCCCCACAAGAATTCCGTGGTTGCCCTGAGTTCCAGGTTGGAGGACGCATTGAAGAAATTTACGAGAGATTTTACCCTCGGTTTTGGCGCGTTTTCGGACAAAGTTGAGTAAGTAGTAAGAAATTAAGATTCCATAACTACACGGTCCATTTTGTCTTACTCTGCCCTGTCAATGTCTTTAAATGCCTGAAATGACATGAATTTTAAGGTAAATGCAACATTGTATACTTTAATGCAAAGTTACTTTTTTGCACTATAAAACCATCGATTTTTTTAAAATTACGAATTAGATTTTAATTTTTTTAAACGAGTTGGTTATATTTTTTTTAATCTCTATAAATGACGAAATCAAGTGGAGGAAGCTTACCAGGAAAATTATACTGTTGGTTACGGACGCTCCATTTCAAACTGGCGGCTTTGGACCCTTAAGTATTTAAAAATTATTAATTAAAATGTCATAATTTCCTTAAGGTAGGACTCGACGACTCAGCGCCAAATTCATCAAAATCTGCTCATTTCTAGTCAGTTTACTGCTCTGGAAATTTCTTTTAAATTTCTGGACGATGAATTTGTGGTCAGTGACTTGATTAGTAGAATGGGTTTGAGTTTTTAAGTCATTTTCGGTGAGTTCCAATTTTTCGGAAGGCTTAACCTTAAGATCTCCTTCAAAAATTGTCAATATCTGGAGTGTATATTTTTTTAATGGAAACGATGAGCTATCTTGTCCTCCAGAATTTTAAAATAAATTCCCAGTCAAGAAATAATAGAAAAATGTCCTAATTTTGATGAGTCATCGAGTCGTACGTTATCTTCTTGCCCCCTTTGCAGAAGATTCACCCTTCGACGAAACGTGTCGACTCGCCCCGGATGGAAGATATCTAGGAAAAGACACCTTAGACTACCCGTTGATTTCCTCCCTCGCCAAATTAATGTCAGAAACGCAAACCACTGTCATCTTTGGCGTCACGGAATAGGCATATCAGTTCTACGTCGACCGATCGAAAGACCTTCAACCCTCACGGGTAGGGAATTTGTCCTCCGATTCTTCTAACTTGATCGACCTGTTGGAAACGGAGTATCGCAGGATTGCTTCCCGGATTGAAATTACCCGTCAAAATGGCTCCACCACAGAAGAAATTCAAGTAAAGTTTTACTCGTCGTGAGACAAGGGTTCAAATTCAACCAAGGAGACGTCCGCTTGTGACGGCATTCCACTGGATTATGATAAGGAGGTTAAATTCACGGTGGAAATTGGACTTATGGAGTGCCCGAAAGATAAGAAGGATTGGAATCAAGTCCTTATCATAAATACGGGCGGGCTGTCGTACAAGTTCAAAGCTCCGATTGAGCTAATTTGTGAGAAATGAGGGTTAATTTTTTGGTTACAAGAAGCACGATGGAAAGTATTCAATGTTTTTAAAAACGTATTTATTACTAATTCATTCTTCTGATAATTTATTAACCAACCTTATTTCAAAGATGGATATGTAATAATGTAAACTGAATGTATTAATCTGTAACGTCATCGATGTTTCGAAATACCACAACTAACGTTGCCAAGATTTTTCAAGACATTACATAGTTCATCACACAGGTTGTACGTACCTAGAGAGAAATTCTAAGATTTCGTATAAATGGTTACATACTAAATATGTAAAAACGTAGAAACATATCTGTATGCACATATTTAACGAATTGATAATAAATGAATATTGAGGATAACGTCAATTTGCATTGATTTATTTTACTTTTATTTATAATATTGTTAGAATCATGTAATAATTCCCCTCTAATAATGCACAAAGGCCGGGAGCTATTCTAACGTTACGCAATTTTAAAGATACATACATATTAATAATGTAATTACTTAATTTAAATATATTATAAATTACAATGAAGCATACATAATTATCACACCGCAAGGTTTGAATAACATGCTATAATAGATATCGTCGTACTAATTCATAAAAGACCGAAGTGCAGTCGATTCTCAATTCAGAAAAGACCTAAGTGCACAGAAAAAAAGTAAAAAAAGACCTATGTGCAAGTATGTATTTACATATGGCTAAATCTTGCCAAAATGATTTTTCATATATATCGCGCGATTTAGCCATAAGTAAATACATACTTGCACATAGGTCTTTTTTTACTTTTTTTCTGTGCACTTAGGTCTTTTCTGAATTGAGCATCGACTGCACTTCGGTCGTTTCTGAATTAAACACCGACTGCACTTAGGTCTTTTCTGAATTTAGCATCGCCTGCACTTAGGTCTTTTATGAATTAGTACGACGTAATATGCTATGCAAATATATGCAAATACTGATATGCAAATAAATATGCTATATTAGAATACTGTACCCTATCGACCCATGTTATTTTCTTGTAAAACTTGGTAACGGCAACACGAAAAACCGCATTGCAGGATTATACTGAAAAGCTTTCCATACTGATTGGAAATA